ATACAGCCAATTTCCAACAGTAAAATACTGTTATTTCAATAAACTGTTTTATCCTGTAAATTTACAGTCTATGTTCCATAAATTAATTGCTTGCTGTAAATTTACAGCATTTATGTGTAAACCAATTTGTTCCTGGAAAAAACAGTCTTGGACTGTAAAAAATAGCACGTGTGGGCGGGACATCTTCAACGCGGTCTCTTTTCGAACAGAAAGCAGTCAAAGAACAAAATGGTTTCGCAACACTCCTGCTGTCTTAAAGAAGGCCACTGTTCAAGGTAAGTTTATTTCTTTGCTGTTATTCTATTATGTTGCTCCAGAGTACCTGTAAAATCGCCTTTTTCATGAGGTATTTTTTTTAACTGCTTACTGAGCGCGAATCGCGTTTTGAAGACAGAGCTCGACGGTTGAGACATTTCGCCTATCTGCTAATGAATGCTCTCTGAGCTCCGATTAACGTAAATCTATGCGATTATTACTGCGAATTCTTTGCTTGGCTAAAGTTGTTACCATTTAGAAATTAGTTGGGCTTTCTTTTGTAGTAGCCTAACCCTTAACTCGATTTATATGAATTTGTGATTCAGTAACGTTACACGGTGCGAATCTTACCAGATGCATCAATTCGCATAATATCATGCACATAAGATGGAGAATAATTACAAAACAACTCGAAATATCCAGATCCAATGTTGTAATTAAAATGTAGTGGTCAATTTGTTTAGTTTCCATCCAAATAATATTAAAATTCCCAAAGCAAATTAAATATGTTTTTTTTTTTTTTTTGATTTAGTGATGCAAGTACCTGCGTTTTTGTGAGATTCACATGTAAGTTAGGCCTAACGTTATAGTATTAAGTCAAAGAGGTTGTGTTTGAAAGACGAGGCAGAGACGGATATTCTTTGCGGCGCGAAACACGTTTTTGCAGACAGACAGTTATCAACAGCTGAGGCATTTCACTATTCAATGTTCTCCGCACTCTGACGTCGATTTTCTTTGCTTGGTTAAAGATTTCGAAATAATTATTTTCTTTTTTTTTCCTAGGAATCCTTCACTTGATGTAAATGTTTTACTGAGACAGTTTGCCCTAATCTTTGGTGAGTTTCACGCCATGTATAACTTACTTGCAAACTTTGTGCACAATCATGCAGTAACGTTACCATTTTTGCATTTGATATTCCAGAAGTAGCCTAACACAGAAGCAAGGATGACCGACACATGAGCTTCACAATTCTGTCACGTCACCATGTCCCTGGTGAACACTCTTATGGCAGTAGGTAATGATTTATAGTTCATTTAGTATTTATTTTATTTTTGTTTTTCTTACACAGTTAAAACGATTAATATTTTTATTACACACATCTATCGTTTGGCTTCAGATTTAGAAGACATTGATTCATCCACAGTGGTCTTGTGAATTAATGTTACGATCGTGGTGTTGTTTTTTAAGTGACAAAAGAATTAAGATTAGTTAAGTACATTAACATGATCATTTTATGTTTCTTTTAAAAGTGTTTGCAGAGTATGTGATCACTTTTTGCAGAGTATGTGATCACTTTTTGCAATGTGCTTTATTTTAGCACTAAGATTTTCTTGATTTTCTTTACTCTCAGACCTGGATTTCCTCTCAGACCAGATCTGTCAAAAGCTGATGTGGGACGTATTGGCTGTTTTTTGCCTCTTCCTACATTTCTTCACCCATTGGTTCTCGTGATTATCTCCTCTCAGATCTGGACTTCCTCTCAGGCCAGATCATTCAAAAGCAGGTTTGGGATATTTTGGCAGTTTTTTTTTTTTTTTTTTTTTTTACCAATTTTTCATCCATTGGTTCTCAATGTTTTCCTCTCAGACCCAGACTTAATCTCTGGCCTGGTTGCTGATGTGACATTTTGGCTGGTTTTAGTGTTTTGTTTGTTCGGGTTTTTTGGGGTTTTTTTTGCCTCTTTGTAATGTTTCTGTGTTTGCCTACTGGTTCCTCTCATTGAATTTTAAAATGTATTTTCTGTGACTTTTTTTTCCTTAAATACTGTTAATGTATTGTTAAAACCTGTTACTTATTTTAAATAAATGGCAAACAATGTACTAATACATAATCTATTTTGTCTTTATTTTTTCCATTGAGTAAAAAGTCTGTTTGGAATGTCTGTATACATTATGCTACATATAGGGATGTTAATAGATATCAGACAATAGAGTAAATAAAAAACAGTATTTATATTCTAACTTTATGCTGCCAGTACTTTGTGAAATTACAGCACAGCCTTAAAATTAAAAACTGTAAAATTACGGTAAAGGGCTGGAACCACAGCTGCCAGTACTTTACTGTGAAATTACAGCATTGTTGAAACCGTAAAATTACGGTAAAGGGCTGGAACCACAGCTGCCAGTACTTTACTGTAAAATTACAGCATTGTTGAAACCGTAAAATTACGGTAAAGGGCTGGAACCACAGCTGCCAGTACTTTACTGTAAAATTACAGCATTGTTGACACCGTAAAATTACGGTAAAGGGCTGGAACCACAGCTGCCAGTTCTTTACTGTAAATATACGGGTGAATTTTTTACAGTGTATGAATAATGAAGCTACTTCAGACCAACCCCTTTTAGATTTGTGCCAGGCGCAAGAGGCATTTATCCCGCCGGGAAAATAGCAACAGCGCCGGGATCCGCCCACAAAGTTACTTGCGCTTTGACACTTGCGTTTCAGATCGTTAAAATAGGGCCCAATATGTTATTACCGCATACTGTTTTATAATATACTACAATACACTTTGGTGCAAATAGTATCTGCTACTATTTAGTATAAATAGCATCTAACAACTATTTACACTTAGTGCAAATAGCTAAAAATAGTGCAAAGAAAATACTGCTATTTTCACTTAAGTGTTTCACTTTTAGTGCAAATAGCCACTGCCTTCTTTTATATATTAAAAAATTATATATATTTATTTATGCAGTGTGTGAAATTTAATCAACCAACTCAGAGCCTAATTTATGGAAAACAAAGATAAAATAATTAGTATTGTAACTAAGTTGATAAACTAAATATGTCAGTGAACTGAAATGTTTACTGCTTTGCAGTCATGAAACTTAATTAATCTGGGGACATAAACTAACATTCTGTGTTATTAAAAGAGAGTTCTAATTGATCCGCAATGAGTCTTTTAACATCTTTCCATGTTTATGGATTAGTTTTTTGGATGCAGTGAGTTAATAAGTTGTCAGAAATAAACAAGACATTTGCTGTCACTGGTAGCCTTTCTAAGAATGCAATCATCTGATGCTGACAGCTTTTCATCATCCGTCAGGTTTGAGCATATGAATATGTATGTGTGAATTATAAATTGTTTGTTCTCTAACATTGTGTCATATAACAGCCCAGCTCCTCCTCCTCTTTTTCATTAGTTTGTTACATCTGCGATCAGTGAAGTGTGTTCTTGTCCTTTAGATCCCACAATGCCTCCAATCTACAGCCTTGCAGGGCAGTGACCCCAAAACTGGACGAAACCCCAGAAGGCAGGCCACTTAAGGGACTCAGAGTGTTGTCGGCTAAATAAAAGGAGCGGAGTGAGAGGCCCACTTGTAAGGGAGCCGCCTCCCTCCCCTATCCAGCAGAGATGGAGAGGGTCAGCCACGAGCCTTCTGCACCCTTACAGCTCTCATTCTCTGTTCACGTCTGCCACCCTCTTAACCCTAAAATCTCCCTTTCCCTTCATATTGATATCTGTCTCTCTCTTCTCCTGAATTTGGGCCCCCTTCATCCTTCATGTCGCTGTCTTTATCCCAGGGGAGTATGTGTGGGGGGTCAGGGTTAGGCAGGTGCAGAGCCAGTGAGAGAGACTGAAAGCAAGAGAAAGAAGGGGCAGACGGTGGCCGCGCACTCCGTCTGTCACCCAGCTCTGTTTCACTAACTACCCCCCCCCCCCCCCCCCCCCCTCCCCTTCCCCCTCCCCCTCCCAATGCAAGATTCAGAGTGGACTAGACTACATAACTCTAACCAGGATACTGAATATGTACCCTGGAAATGATCGCAGATATTTTGAGATTATCCACATCAACCAATATCCGTGTTATCAAAAAGTTATGTTCTATTTAGTTTCACTTTCATAGTTTGTTTCTCTTCAGTTACTAGTTTCCTTTGTTCTAGTTTCCTGACAGTCATTAGTTGTCATTGACATTCATTAATGAGCACACCTGTCTGTATTTAGTTCATCACCTTGTCTATTCAAGTTCCTCTTTTTTTTTCTTACCGTGTCCGGTAGGCTATTGTTTGTGTCATTGCAATATGACTTGTGTTTGCTCTTTCTACAATTACCTTGTTGTTATTTTGAACCACTTAATCGACCTTTCTCATCATTGGACTTGATTCATGACACATGTCCACTTGGTCAATTAACAGAAATTATTATTTCCACACTTTGTCAGATCCAAATTAACATTTTCTGGGGTTTTTTTTTTTGCTTGTTTTTGTTTTGTTTTTAGCAACTTAATGTACCAGGGGTTGTAAACCTTTTAAATTCTGTTTCAATTAAATTCTTCAGTTGAATTGAGATAAAAAGAAAAAGAAATAGGATACAGATCTGTGTTAGCACGATAAAGCCTTATTTAAAAGTTTAAAATATGTTGATGATTCACATTCTAGGCCTTACACAGACATAAGTTATAACTCATGGAATTGAAAGAGAACCAATACTTACATTGAATTTCATCCAATCATGCTATACATTTAATTTACTATCACTGAATTGTATTACAGTAGCACTGTATGCATTGGCGCTTTATTGGCAATTTATTGCAAATATTGGCCAGCCATTACCAGATATATCACCCCCTCCCCCCTTCTGCTTCTACTACTTTACTTTTTCTCATTTTATTAAACAATGTTATCAATTATTGTCATATTAGTAAACAGGACAAGGCCTGCGCTGCACATAAACAGAGTTACACCTAACCAAACTGACAAATGCAGACAAGAAACTGTCAGGCAACAAGAGCAGAAATCCTACCTTGTCAAAAAGAGACTTCCATTGCTGAGAGAAGCATTTGAAGACAGAGAAAGAGGGAGGAGAAAGGAATGAACACAGAGATATAACTGAGAAAAAGATGACTCAACCTAAAATTAATCGATTTTCTTTGCTGTTTTTCAACAATATACATACATCTGCACATTGTCACTTACGTCCTCTGGAGCTACAGGAAGGACATCAGTGCTCTCCAGCACCTCGATCTCTTCTCCCTCTGCGTGAGCAGCGACGGCTGGGGATGAGTTCACCATAGCCCCTCTGCTCCTCTCAATCCACTCAAAAAACGATTATCTCCTCTCATAAAGTTCTGTCATGATGTCTTCCACATATATATCCATATGGTTTTGACAACTCAGAACTTCCAGCAGAGCTAAATTGGCACTATTCCAGATCTGTCATACTAATATCCTATGGCAAGTGAGTTTATCCCAAACTAAGTGGGTACGTAGAGTTCCTCCTCGCTTCCATATTTCATTACAGGATGTTTTAGACACTTTAAATCCACAGCACGTCACACATAAGTTCGCGTTAGATTTTTAAACACGTCTGTCTTTCCCAGTAGCGTCGGGCTTCATCCTTAAACAGTCACCTGCAAGAGAAACAGCAATTCGTTCTCAAATACCTTCATGGCACCTTGTGTGTTAGATTATTACCATCCAGTGTCGTGCCTGGCGTGATTTTGCTCAAGCAGAATGTATTGACACCAAACAGAATGCGATAAACGAAACGTTCAGGTCAGTAGCGGCTTGTGTTTATCGTACCAACGTTAAACCACGCAAGACTAAAAACAAGACAGTGTGAAATGCGTAAGTGTTAATTTGTGGTGCGTCATTGTACCTTGGTGTTCTTTCGCATCCTCAACGCGTGCCAACAGTGCCCGAGAGGAGCGTCTCCTGCCAGCATCCACAGAGCGCTTTGCCAAAGTTCACTGTGACCGAGATGAGCACAGACAGCATGGGGAGGTAAGTGAAAGGCACCCGCCTCCTTTTAATGATCCTCGTCATGTGGGCGATTTTACAAGTGCTTGTCTCAAATGATGAACATGAATGCGCGGGAATGATATGTTCGTTTTTGCAGTTTGTCTTTTGCGGTTATTGGACTTGGATTTGTTTACTGCATGAATAAATTACATCTATTTTATAGTGACCAGGTTATTTAAAACAAACGGACTATGTGGTTCTGATTATAAGCAGGCTCACGCAAAGTCAATTTCAAACCAAGCAGCTTTCTGTTGGCCAACGTGGCGAATTTGCGTGACTAGATTGAACCCGTTGCGAAATCTGCGTGTGAAATGTCACCACATCTTTATTAAACAGTAAATTAAAGATAAACGTGCTGTCACACTTACCTTTGTTTGGTAAATTTTGCAGTAAAAATTTAGTCATTAGGAATCCGCGAACATGAACATGTTAATTAAGAGGATTTTCACGCAGATTTAGCATTGGGTTGCCCAAAAGAAAGCTTGTTTGAAAGTGAATTATGTGTGAAATATATTTATTGCTACACTATTAATAATGGACCTTTTGATAATTGCCATAGGCCTACTGTTTTAATAAGTGAACCTGCAAAAAATGTCACGTAAAAAATACCCACCAATACACAGACTGACAACAACTTGGAACTTCATAAACTTAAGACTAGCAGAGTGATAGTGAATGTCCTAGTGCTTCTCAGTAGGCTACTAGAATTTAAGGAGAAGTGTTGGATTTTTTTACCACACTAACCATCATAATGTTGTTCTGACTATCTGCAGGGCTGGGATTAGGCCTTCCTGTGGCCTTGTGCCTGTCATCTTATATCTTATCTAGGATAATATAATTTTCTCTAATTAACCACTTTTAAAATGCATATGGAAAACATTTCCTCGTCCAACACGTTTTTTTTTCTGTCAGAAAACTTAGCATGCTCTTTCCCACAGTATCTCTTGGCACTGGTCCTGAGGATGTATTTCCATGGTAACGTATAGACTGTAGTTATTTATAGCATAACACCTACACACACATGTTTAGACTTGTGACTTACTCTATACAATTGCCAAGCATATTCCAAAAAAAGAAAAAAAAAAGTTATAGCTGATAGAAGAGAGTGAAAATTGCACCCTTACATTATTAGACCAACATAATTATTCACACTCATGTATGTGCCTATGATTTATGTCTGTTGCTGAAAGGAAGTATAAAGATTATTGACAATCACCTGAATGTTTATGCAATAAAGATTATACAAATGAGTCTCAAGGGCCTGATGGGTACTTGTAAATACTTGATGCTGTCTGTGGTGAGGAGAGAGTATAGAAATTCATGTAGCTCAATACTGCCTTCTTGTGTACGATTTGTATAAGTGCAACAGAAGAACCAGAAAATCTCTCCTACTGTAGGCCTATAGGATTTTGTCATTTGGGAAATGCTTTATTTAAAGCTGCAGTCCGTAGTTTTTCCTCTTTGTCACCATCTCTGTTCAAAATCTGCAATTGCAGTTATTTGCGGAATTATCAACTTTACGTGGGTTGTGCCTCGGCACGGCACAGCGCGGATTAATCCAATGTTTCGAGGAGAATGTGCGGCTGTCAGTCACCGCGCCGGTGTGGATACTGTCATTCGGAATCATAGATTCTACTTTTTGGAAGTATGACCAACATAAGAATTTTCACCGGAAAATGTCATCTGAACAAGTAAGTAACATCCACTTTTGTTCTGACCAACTAAGGGAAAAAAAGCATTGCAGTAAATCACGCTGATTAAATCTAACGATCACTTATCATATCACGTCAAACCGTGCAAATTATACTTTGTTCTCAAATTGTTAATGTTAACAACATCAGCATTGCGTGACTAACATTTAATGTGTATTAGGCAGAGCCAGACAGTAACGGAGTACATTTACTTGAGTACAGTACTTGAGTACAATTTTGAGGGATCTGTACTTTACTCGAGTATCATTTTTGGGGATTACTCATGACTTTACTCAAGTACATTTGAGAGGCAAATATTGTACTCTTTACTCCACTACATTTCTATCCATAACCGTTAGTACCCGTTACTTCTAAAAAAAAAAAAGGAAAAGAGAAAAATCTCGGAAACCCTCAATTTGTTGTTTCCCTCTCAAACGTGATTGGATTGTGCAGGCGCCACTAATTGGGACAGCCTATCAGCAAATCACCTTCACCTTCAGCTCTGAACTGACGCCAAAGTAAACTCCATGGTCAGATTTAGATAAGAGACGAAACCATGGACGAAACAGGTTCAAATGTGGGTGCAAAAAAAACATTAAAACTCTAGCAGAGGTTTGTCAGAGCGTTGCCATTGTGCATTGCCTTGTGGGCAAGTGAGAAATGTTAAATAAAGCAACATGGTAAAAAGATGAAAATGACTTGAATTAACTTTCAATTCCTTTTAGATGATCAAAGGTATTAACATTAACATTTTTCATAACTCCATGTAGGACGTTTCTGTACATAAATGTAAGCACGGTTCGCGTACCTACCCCGAAGTGATAAAATAAAATTCTGTATCAAATTTATAGGCAAAGACAAGTAGTTTGTTTAGCCATGGTTTGTAGGGAATTACAAACCTGCACACATATATTCGAACACACATAACTATAGAATCAATTCTTAATGCGCATGTGAACGCTATCAGCGTTAATCACAGGTTCAGTTTAAAGTCTGTTTAGAGAACGGCGTCGTCTAAGCGGCCCCTAATTTAATAACAAATGATCATTTCGCCGGAAGTGAATCATTCAAAACTAACTTTAGCTGGAAATAACATTATTCAAGAATCACTATAAAGCCAAAACAATCTCTGTTACCTTAAATTATGTTTATCTCTGTAAAGCCGCTTTGAAACAATCTACATTGTTAAAAGCGCTTTATAAATGAAGATGACTTGACTTGACACTGTGGCAGTAGTAATGCAATATTTAGAAAATTTATTCTTGTACTCTTGATACTCAAGTACTTTTAAAAACAAGTACTTCAGTACTTTTACTTAAGTAGACATCTGACTGTAGTACTTTTACTTGAGTAAAATTTAGCAAGGGGTATCTGTACTTTTACTCAAGTAACGAAGCTGTGTACTCTGTCCGCCTCTGGTGTTAGGGCTACCTGTAGTTCAGTACTCCGTAACTGTATGAGGGTGATTCTTCAATTACGGGAACTTTTATGTCCCCAGGTTATACATTCATGTTAAAAATACTATTTTATAAAATAAATAGTTTAGTTATTTCAAATAATATTTATTGCACCACCAAAAAATGTTATACACTAAAATCAGTATGATTTCCATTTTTAAAAATGCTTTCATCACTAATATTTGGCTACTTAGGCCTTGTCCCCAACCCAGACTTTAAAACTTATCTGCTCTGAAAATGTGATCAAATGTTATCAGTTAATTAAAAAATCACAATATATGTTTAAACAGTAACTTAAAAAGGCACTTGATGCATAATTTGGGTTCATATCTGTGCAATTTGTGAATATTTTTAACAATTTAGTATTGTCCACAACAATACTGTCATTACCGCGACAGTCTATGATTACAACAAGGATATTTTTGAGGGTAAGACTTGTTTATGCCATAACCATGGAAATAAAGACTAGCAGGGGAGCACATGTCAGCCATGAAAGAACAGTGAAATTTGATGTCTGAAAAAGTAAGTAATTTAATCATGAATTCCTTCTGATCATGGAGTAGACTTATTCAGCGTCATTACCATAAATGCTGTAGCAGCAATATTTTGATAAATATATATATATATTCACAATGATTTATGTGTATTTAAAGGTCTTTTTGTACTAGCTGTTGAGTAATGTTAGCAAAACCATGACCTAGCATCTTTTTTCCTGAAAAAAATGAAAAATGTCATTACCGCAACACGTCATTACCAACACACAACTTGTTGTGATGGTAATGACAAGTGATGGTGGTAATGACATGTTCTGTGTCACTATCTATATCATATTATGTGTTTATAAATTAAGTTAAAGAAGCATAATAGTGTGATTTTACAATGAAACTTAAGTGAGATGCCTTACTTCCTAAAACTATTTTTTGTCTTATTTTTTAACCAGAATGGCTCCCAAGAAATCAACTGAAAGGTCTAGAGATTATAGAAAAAAATTGAAGGAAGATCCTGTAAAATATCAGCAGTACATTGACAGAGAAAAGGAAAGATACAAAAGAAGAAAAGAAACAGGAAAGCTAATCTCACAACTTTCAAAACGGGAGCAAAGGCAGAAACTAGAGATGGGCCGATTACAATTTTCTAGGCCGATTCCGATTTTTCAGAGTTTGACCTGCCGATACCAATTTTTAGCCGATTACGATTTCATTTTTTCTAATCACTTTACAGCACACACAAATATTTATTTTCTCTCTTTTCTTTAGTAGAACATTTTACATTTTGCATAGAATATTTTTGAACAGTAATCACTATAAAATAGGACTATATAAATTACTCCTCTAAAAATGTGCAGTGAATCTAAAGTGCAGTGTTATGGAAGAACCATTTCCTTCTTTTCACATCCAATTTCCAACAAAAAAAGTGTTAATTTCAAAAAGAAAATTCATTTTCTTTTCTGACAAATACTCCAGTTCTTGTTAAAACACACCAGACGTGCAAATTCTGTGCATTTTGGGCACTTTTGTGTGAAATCATATTTATTTTGTCCATCAAAAGTGTGCTTTCACTTTAATTGAGCGTGAGCAGTGCAGCAAAAATAGACTCTGCACCGAAACCCGTGCTTCACCGCTGCTCACGCGCGGCTCCCACTCCCGGTGTGAATGCACTCATTGATTAACATGCACGCTTGAAATAATACGCGCTGCTCACGTTTGCGGTGTGAAACGGCCGTAATTCACGAGGTTTCCAACATGTGCGTTCCGTGTGCACGTGTGATGCTGATGTTGCTCGATATTAATCATGCGGCGCCCGAGTGTATTTGACCGGCATAAAATGTCATCGCCGATCATGGCCAATCGAAAATCGGCCAATTCCAGTCACCAGCCGATCAATCGGTGCATCTCTAACAGAAACGCAAACAATGGAGAGTTAACCAAAACAATCAAAGAGCCAATGACAAAATTCGACAGGAAGTACAACACTATGTAGCTTCAAACACCCCCCAACATCTCCAGTGCAACAGGGTCAGAACAGTGAAAATGAAAATCGTGAAACTCCTTGCAGAAGAGGTCGTAAGAAAGTTAAAGGACAAGTTCGGTATTTTACACAAGCCCCGTTTCAAGATCATTTCTAATGAAATAGAACAAGATTACAATTTGGACACATGCTGCTGTCCCGAGAATTTTCGGTTTCTGTGGTTGCACAACCCTGTCAATCTCCTTACATCTGTCCATTTCTTTCAACAACACTCACCAGAAGTCATTATTTAAGCCTTTAAATTTGATTTATGTATCAGTACACTTTTCATTTGTCATTACCAAAACACTATGTCATTACCAGAACAGTATGTCATTACCACCACGTTGCTTAATTTACAGCAAACATACCTTTAAATCTGTTTTATGTTCAATCTTGAGGTGCTACATGAAAAGCCTAATGAAATACTCATCCACCTATTCAAAGAAAAAACATCTAAAATTAATTTTACAGAAATTAAACAAAAGTGTGCTTTGATGAATACAGGAAAACACATTTTGATGGTAAGAACAAGAAAATATATGGAATTCGCAGAATGGAAACATTTTGTTTTTTATATGTATTGTTGAAGGTTAACAATGTTTGCAAGATGAATGAGTTTAAATGATCTCCTTGATACATTCTTTGCATTATGAGACTTTTTGATGTTGTGATGGGAATGACGTTTTTCAGTGCCAGTTGGCAAATAGATATAAAATACTCAAATTATATTTAAGCTCAGTCGTGGCCATTATTATATCTTTACATCAAAGCATGTAAACATTGCCTTGACATAATTCCAACAAAATTCAACCAGATTTCATTCATCAAAATGTAAGATGGCAAAATAGCCCCCAATTGAAGAATCACCCATGAATTAAGCAAACAAGTGTGCTACTGTTACATAATTGAACCATTGAAATGTCTTACCTGTCCAGCAGAAAAAAAAGCCGTCTCCGTTTTGAACCCCTTCAAAACACGGAGTTCACGCCACCTTTCAAAAGCCCTTCCGATATTTATCCTTGTTTTCGCATGGGCCCGGTTGCAGTCTCTTTTTTTCTCTAGCTACTCTGAAGACTTTTGCATTTTACAACGGGTGAATCTCCAGTTGTCACTGGTGATTGTCATTTGAACCTTTCTGGATCCGCCATCAAATTGATAAGTTTAATTATATCAAGTGCTGTGAGAAAAGGATATAAATCTCCACCTCCAACATCCTCACACGCAATATAGCCTACTAACCGAGACACCTTCTTTATGTGTTCAGATGTGACGTAATGACGCAAAGCCATGCTCAAATTTCCCACAGAAATCCACCAGTACCATTGGAATGAAAAACATTATTACATGTTTTTGCATATTACATGTGCTTACCTTTTTGAATCGAGCTAAGGCAAGCAGATAGTTTTTAACACTGGCTGGTTATGTACTTGCTCAAAAAATTATTTTGGATAATTTTTAACCCAAAAAAGTTATGGACTGCAGCTTTAAAGCAATTTACACCAATATATTTTCAATTGTTATTAAGAGATTGTAGAAAGACAATACTAGAGTTTCATTATGTAGTCTGTATTCCTGTCCCTTAGCAGTAGGTTCAGGTAGAGTTAACATGATACTAATTTTGCAAAAGTTCTACGCCTAAGGCAATGCAAAACCGAACCACAATAATCAAAGGCTGAAGCACATGTTAGCTTTTGCATGTGCCTTTCAGCTACATAATTTATCCTCAGTATTTACCCTTAGTAATATTTTGCCCATTACATTTTTTTTACACAAAAACATCTTAAAAACGGCATGCTTTATCTCAGTACCCTTTTCCCACAGAATAGATTAATCATATCTGACTGCTAACAAAGTCCCAGTCAAGGCAAGTCAAAAAGGCATCTATTTTTTGGTCATTCAAGTACAGCATCTAATTTAAATAATAAAATATATAAAAACCTGCTTGCCAATCTCACATTTCAAACCAGCAATAAAATTGGACATATACCGCTAGATGTCAGTATAAGTTTGACTGAGTTTGAGTCAGCATAACTGCCATATCGACCAGCATATAAACCTCTTACAGGTTTATATGCTGGTCGAAAATTCTACTCAAATGTTAACTAAATGGAGTGTACATGAAATAGTAGCCCACAGCATAAATAAAACATGAACACAGTTTAAGAGAAAAAAATGCTGTTTATTAATATAGGCTGAAATAATCTCCATACCACATGGAAAGACTTTTTCGGTGCAAGTCCTCAACGATCACATTCTATTAAGGGTAAGGAAAACACATTTAAAAGCCAGCAACATTGTTAAATCTCAGTACAGTCATGTTCTTAATATCTGAACAATAAAGAGAAACAATTAAATTCCCTCTCACAAAACCCTGCACAACCCATCATTCCTTTTAAACACTAGAATGTCCAAGATTGGCATAAACCCACAGTGCTTGGTTGATGATGCTCCTTGGTTGAGAGACACAGAGCATGGTGATGACACAATAAAATCTGCTCATTCAAATCAGAACTCGTACAAAGAAAACTTGTAACAAGCGTATGAACCCCCCACCCCACCAAAAAGATCCTTGTGAGAATAGCATGACCGGACATACTATCCCCTCAAACCTCTGTGCATAGATTCTTAATCCTTTCACAACATTTTAATTCCTCATCATTTAGCCTTAAACCTAGATGGAGTATTTTCAACCCACACTCTAAAAACTAGTAAGAAAATGGTAGGAGTTCAAGTTCTATGTGTTGATCTACAATTATCAGGCCTTTGGATACAGGCCTCTACTTAATTTCTAAAACAAGAAAAGACAAGAGGATGGAATATCAATATCTTTTACTGGACCTCGTTGAGAAACATCAAGCAAGGTCAAATCAAACAGTGCTAGGTCTTTCCACAACCTAACCAATAAACAAAACTGTATTGGTACGTATTACGTAAAGCGATAGATACAAACATTTTAAATGGAAAGCACTCCACTTCAAGAAATATAACGCATAGGTTCATTACAAATCTAATATTTGGTAAATGTGTGTCTGCTACGAATTAAAATTCAAAAAGACATTTTTTTAAATCCATAACCTTCAGTGCTTCGAGCTGGATTTCTATCAACATCTTTTGTCCTCTTTTCATAAAATGATTTGTTAATTTCTCATGATAATCAACATCATAACAGTGAAACTGGAACTCTGGACCTCTAATCTTCCTGAGAAAATATCCAAGTCCATTGTCAGTGTGCAAGACAATGACATAATTATGTTGCTTTTACAGAAACGAAAATGTAAAGACATTTTGGCGTAAGTTCAACCAACAAGAACAATAATGTAATTCATAAAAAATTCAACGCAACACTGAAACAATCCCAGAGTTCAGCAAGTAGCATACGTCTTCATTTAAAAAGTTTTTTTTTCTTATTTTTCTATTTTATTTATTTGATGAAAGATGTGATTGTAATCGTAGTCTGTTTTCTTGCATTCTTGTAGTAAATTCCTTTACTTTTTTTTTTTGTTTGTTTTTGAAATTTCTGAAAATTCTATCATTTGTAAACGGCAGGTAGATTTGAAAAGAATGGAAGAGATATAGGCACCTTTTGAAATGAGTCAGAATGTCACTAACTCGCATCTGTTTATCTTTACTGTTCATGAATGTTACTGCTTCTCTACTAACTTTCTCATTATGGCCAAAGTTTAGTTTTATTATCTTCTTTTTTTCATTATTATAGTATTCTTTTCAAATAACGCAACTGAAATGATGCAAACCTCTTAACTCCAAAATCATAACTCTTGTGGGAAATATTCCACAATAAAAGCCACTATGAGGATACAATTTTACAGGTTTTTAATATTTTAAGATGAAAATAAATCCATTAAGTCCTTGAGTAAACATTAACACATGAATTGTCGTCATCTCCCCTGTGGTGTTTTCTTTTCTTTTTTTTGTATAGTTGAGCAAGGAAAAAAAAGACAATCAGTGCAACGCTAGATAGTAACCATGTTGGAACATTTTTTTTAAACACGCACACACAAATAACGGAGACGGTACAACACTAAATGGATCATAATTGCAGGCAGTCGCTACGTGACGAGAAGCAGTGATTAGAGATTTCACATACAGAACCATTCAAACACACTCCTTCATACTAAAATCAACATTTTTCAACAGCTTTTTTTCTCTCATGAAGAATGTTCAACCTTTTGAGCATGTTATCAAATACCTTAAAAGTGTCAGTCCCAAACAAAGATTTAAGAAAAAATAAATTCACATTTTGCAATTGGCGCGCTTTAATTCAAGTATTAGTGAAGATATTTCTTTTGATATGTTTATGATTTTTCATTCTTTGCCTAGAGACATAAACATTGTTTAGAATCATGGGTTTCAACACAACGATTGAAGGTATACACAAATACTGCATGTACGTCCTGTGTCATTTCATTTAAACCAACATGCAACTTCAATAAGACTGTTTGGTTCAGATCATTGATCACCCTTTTTTTTCTTTCTCTCAGATGACTCACCGTAAGGATCAAGGTCTATTGCTTATTTCAAATTGTATTTTACCCAGTAGTTTTAAAAGAGAAGGATTCAGAGATCTGATAGCATTTTTTCTTCATAATGAACATGATAATGTTTAACTGTAGTCATAGTCTACCTATGCTGGTGTCACCAGAGACTTCCTGTGATTTTTGACTGTTTGGAATTACAGCCACATTGTGGTTCACTGTCAGTCAGCTGCGACTGAGTTTGGAACAAGGCAGTTACACACAGGCAACAGTGATCCCCCCCACCCTCCATCTCCCAGCTCCCAGAAATAGAAAAAAAAGTCAATGATCAACTTTAGCATCTTAAGACATCTGTTGAAATGTCCCCCCCCCCCCCCCCCCCAAAAAAAAAGAAGATAAAAGGTTTATACAGCATAAAGGCCCGAAATGAACTGAGACTGAGATGGAAATGTACAGTCCAGGCAGGGCACAATTTTACAAACAAACAGTTAATACAGCATACACAAAAGGCACTCCAGCTTGCCGCCAACCTTCAGAACCTGACCAGCAAACAGGAGATAATATCAGCAAGAAGTGCATTTTTAAATGTTATAGATCTTTTTTTTTCATCATTGTTTACGTGTTTCTGTCAAACTTTTTTTTTTTTTTTTTTTTTTTAGATACTAAAATGCTATTTCATTTTTGGTATTCAAAAAAAGTACCAGGGATTACTCATTATCTGTACGCCATTGGCACACCATAATCCCCAATGCTGTTAAAGTTCTTGCTTGTTATAAAGGATTCTTCCAATGACAGCAACAAGATTATCACCAATAATCAGCATGAGGTGACAAATATATATGACGCATACCCTCAACCCCTTTTAAACCCAATCCCACCTCAAACACACAAGAATCGTCAAAGTGCCTCCAAACAGAAGTGCTTTACAACAAAACAACATTGGAATTTCAAATGTGAAGTCAGAGATGCCACAGTGTACTGTACATATTTATGTATACATTGGCACATGAGACCATGAGGGGAATTCAACAACGAGCAGCAGAGAGGTAAGATACACAGGTCCCATTTACTGTATAAACGAACTGATGGCTCTGCAGCAGTCCCTGTTCAGAAGGATTGAGAAGACCCAAACTAGCCAGCCTCCTAATTTTATTGCCCCACTGATAAATATCCTCTTGCGTTTCTTTTAATGTACACTTCGTAAGCTTTTACACATCATTTAGTGTGTAAAACCCCTTACAGACGATAAATCTTCAAAACTATCAACTTTCACTAAACATAAATTTAGTTCTTCTTGTCATGCCCTGAGATTGTACTTAAATGAGATTGATCAAATTCAGCAGAATTAGGCTTAGTGTCAGACAACATCCTAAATTTACTAGGATTACAATGGCCTCGAGTGTGTAAGAAAGTATTACGGGAGGACTGCAAGATATTTTCAACTTCCTTTCAAAGCCACAGATTGGCACAGGGCGGACATTACGTGCCCATCTTCTCTAACTTTGCATAGTGACAGCATCCCATGTGCTGTAGTTATAGAGCCAGTGGCAGAAAGAGTCTGTCCATAGAAACACTGCTCGGACAGGGCTTTTCAAGTACGGGCGGCTTGTCTCGATAACATGGTTGGCTTAACCGAGGCCACACAGGAGAGAGAGGATGTTAGCAGCTGAGTTAGAGGTGGGACACCCAGGGTGAGGTCAAGCACACACACATACACAATTCTAAATGACCTAAGAACACTGTTAACAACAAAACCAAATGACTTTTGACATGAAATAAACAAATATGGCCCACATCATCGATCTTTTTTTTGCATTCATTACACAGGACAGGTATCTGCATATGAGCACTGCAGGCAGTTAAAGATCACTGCATGAAAGTGAAAAAACATATTACACAGCACTGGCAATTCCATTCAGTCTCAAATTCCAGCGAAAAAAAAAAAAGATCATGCAAGACTACGTGAGGGACGGTGTGGGGAAGAATGCATGAGAGGTGTGATGTCATCCAGAGTGGGAACGGGAGGACATTTGAAGATCCGTACCTAAGTACTACTACAAGTACGCCAATGATGAATGATGCCGCCAACATCCATATCATGACATCATTACTATCCTGCATTCCATTGTACGGAGTGCACAAAGAGAGTTGCTAAGGAGAATTGAACGTCCTCTGATCAGTTTCCACGTCGAGGCACTAGCACACCACCTCCTTTTCAAATCCAATCGAGGTACCTTCTCCAGACAGGGTAAAGACTTTTGACTATTTCAGAGTAACAATGACATTCACTTTGATAGAGAGGAGGAAAAAAAAGTAAAGACAAAAAAACATACATTGCAAGTTTCGTTTGATTGTAGTTTGTTCTTCCCTTCATTCTGAAATGTTTTTTTCTGGACTCAAGCTTCTAGGCCAGAGATGGATGACAAACAAGCTTTTTTGAATACCATTGGTACCAAAAAAAAGAAAGAAAGAAAAAAAAAAGCCAAAAGTTGCCATAAGAAGTTTTTTTAAAAAAAAATGTTTTTTACTATATGCTCCATTATCTGATTTATTGGCTTCACAGAAGGAGCATCACTCTTGTAATAAGTGCTATGATAATACCCCTTTGAGAAGAGACTTAGAAAACGTAGATGTCTTTTTATGTTTGTACCAAATGCAAGGATCTCTTATTCTGTACTGCATTAAGAGAAACACATTGTATTTGGTATTGTGCCTGACTCCTGTGCCATGTGTCTCCGCTCTGGATTCCGTTTCTGTTTGGTGAAGAAGTGGCCGGGAGACTGTAAGATCCCACACATGCAGTTTTAAACCGCATGGAGTGACGTCAAACACAATTAACAGTTTCTCCTTTCCACACAAATACCAAACAGCCAGCAAGCCAGACAAACAGACAGAGGCTGTGGGAAAATTAGTCCAAAGGTTAAATTCTTCAGAAGTCTTCAAGAAGAAAAAAAAAAAGCAGTCTTAAGTTTCAGTAAGCTTCAGTGTGGACGGAAGAAAGGGTCTCTGGCTTCTATTGCACAATGCATCAGAATTGAGTTTCTTCTCTCTGTTGTATCTCAATAAAAATGATGACCACACAGTAACTGAATACCTTTTGATTGATTCAGCACTGATGTCCATTAGGTATAATTAAAAAGCCTCCACTGAGAGTGTTTTTAACAGTGGTTATGTACTCGCACACAGATGCTTGGTCAAGTTCCAGCAGACACTCTGACATTCATTGATCTAAATCAAAGCTTAAAATTCCGCAAATTTTTTTTTTAACCATACAAAAAAAACTGGCATGAGTAAATAGAAATCATAGAGCAGTGCAGCTCCCTTTTGTAAAACTAAAAGAATTAAAGAAAAAATATCATTGGCGATTAGTCATGATGACAGGCCACTGCTAAGAGTGTTCTTCTCATTTGCTCTGGCCTATTCGCTGGCTCAGAAACAGAACTGTGCAAGTTACAAAGTATTTATTTTTTGTTGGTTTTACAAAATAAAAGTTTTTAAGGAGGACCTGGAGAGAGAGCACTTACGGCTAATATAAGAAGATCTGAAGAAAAGATGCAAAGTTTAAAACCAAAAAAGTACCAGGATCATTCCAATCATCAGAACAGTGCTGTTATAGGGAAAGGTATCATGAGGTCTCACTGTGCCTGGGTCACTTTCAGATGGCTGCCTCGTTGATGGCTTCTCCTGAACAACACTTTTGAGCAAAAACAACCTTTGGAAATAAAAAAAGCATCAAAAGGCTTCTTGCTTCTATTGATTCTGGCTTCTCAAGGTCTTTGCACACCAAGAACAAGATGCACGAATACAACAAACAGTATGACGTAAAAATCAGAGGACAAATAAACAGCAGTTGGAGGTTTGCAGCTTCGTCTCACACTAAACCTCCATTACAGCTCCACAAAAAGTGATTATCGCCACATTGATTTGCTTGGGTTTTGATCCAGTACTTCTTTTGACTGTCGGTTTATGATGTCCGATACATCCTACATGCTCTCTCCACTCAGCAGGTCTCCCGGGAGCAAGGTGTTAATTGGGATGGGGCTGCCGATTACCCTGGCATCGTCTCCGTTTGGGGGAGCCCATAAACTGGAGTACTGCGGCACACCGCCCCAAAGCATGTCGCCACCGTTTCTGCTGCTACTGTTCCCGGTACTGCAGACTGTCTTGGTACCTCCTCCACCCCCGCTCCAGAGGCCTGTGGGGTGGCTGGCTGCAGTGTTGCCCAGCCGGGATTGATTGGAGCCTGGTGCTTTGCTGGCCTGCCAGCTAGTGGTGGGGGTAAGGGACTGGCCCTGTGCAAAGAAGCGGTTCACATCGTCCTCACCGGCAAACTCTGCCAGGATGGTAGTGTTACCCAGCACACACCTTGGCAGAAAAATAGTTGGAATGGATTCAAGTATTAAATAGATTTCTTGATGGATAAAACATAAAATCAGTTTGAAGAGAGAAAGACGTAGTTATACACACTTATCTAGAGGGTAGATGTAGGAAAACTGTTGTATTTGAATTTAGGAAAAAAATGAAGAAATGTACGGCTAACACTGTTAATCCTAAATGAAAGCTGTTCTGGAGCATTCTATGGAGTATGAAGTAGTAGAGCCTTAAGTCTTACATGTGCAGGGATTTCTGGGCTTTGGCGGTCTCCTCCTTGGAGTTGTAACGAACGACAGCATTGCCCTGCGTCAGGTTCAGATGGAAGGTAATGAGAGGGCCGTGCTGCATGCACAGAGTCCGTAGGGTGGAGCCGTCAATCTGATGCACACACATAGATATGTTATTACATTTGGTGTTATTCATATGCAAGTGCAATTTAAATGGCCTGTCAGACAGAATGTGTTCTTGCATTTAAAAACATAAATGAAATGTGCAGCACAGAATGCATTTTTTTTAAATGTGCTTTTATAAAGAATTTCTTTGCAAACGCCTGGAATACGCAACACAACTTTTAAAATATGATCAGGTCATACACTAAGCAATTGAGGATTACACACTACCACAACAAACCGAACACAACAAACTCGCGGAGAAACCATGAGCCTTGTTGCAAGGAGGTGAATGACAAATAAAAACAATATGTGTTCTAAAATCAGCTCAAAATATGTTTGATATTCTCAGGCTGGATGGATTCATAGTCGAAGCTGTTTTCATAGTCTCTGTCCATCATACATAATGCGATTTTACAGAGTTGAAATTTCTCAACTCTGACTTCCCAATATCAGCAGACTGGTTCTGACCTCCAGACTGCAAATCGGGCCAAAAATCCTGACAAAACTCATGTAGTGTATTACAGCCTTTAATAACAGAAATAGCCAAAGAGCAGATTTGGAAAAGTGTCCTGACTAGAGCTAAGCAACTCTTTTTTTACATATTGCAGACAAATGAGAACTGTAAACACAAGCTCATGATATGCCTGCCCACAGCTACTTCTAATTGGCTCAATGTTTCGATACTCGCATTGATGAGGTGCACTGCAAGTCAAAGCTTCTGTTAACTTAAAACATTATCTTAAAATGTGGTACATATGTGAGAGATGATAAAAAGTCCAGCAAGACATATTGCGGTAGTCAAAAATATCTGTCTAGTGCACCTTTACATAGAAGTATTATAAACTAGTGCAGTGCAACATGAAGCTTAAAATAAACATAAAATAGTATAAATAATACATTTAGATATGTATAATGGGAGTGGTTTTTAAATGTTAAAGGAGAACTCCGGCGCAAAATGAACCTTTGGTCTAATTACACATTGTTACCTAGTCAACCGTTATCTGAGATTTGTTTTCATGATTATCGAATGTAAATAGTTTTATCTCTAAAAACAGTTTAGCCTATAAAGCTAGTATAACGCTAGTATATTGGGCATAGTGTAATGACAAATAAAAATAGCTTGTTAATACCACTAACAAGGCTCAAAATAGCCCCACACTAACACGGTAGCATAATGAGGGTCCCTACCTTCAAACCGAAGCATTGAGAACTTTGTCAGTGTCCAGACAGTTTAATAAGAAGATATTTTAAACATACAGTCAACTTCGCGTATACAGACAGGAGCCATCTTTGAAATACAGTCTTTACCAGTCGATCTACGAACGCCGATCCAAGTGCGCTGGTGAGAATGTGAACAAGCTATAAGTTGTGATAAGGTGAGCGCGAACAGCAGGCTTGGATCGGCGTTCGTAGATCGACTGGTAAAGACTGTATTTCAAAGATGCAAAAAAAAAAAAAAAAAAAAACCCAGAAAATAAATCAGAAAATGTGTTACATAAAAAGTTGCAGTTCTGAAATTTCATGTAATATGATAAAAAACGAGTATGATGTACTGTAAAAACTAGTATGATATCTGAATGAATCTACTAGTTTTTACAGTATTAAAAAGTGTGTGGTTTATGCACCTGAGGAGTGAGGTTTCTGAGCACCAACCAGCTGCTTCCTCTGTTGGGACTGTCAGTGCTCCAAGTTCCCCCTTCTATAAAAAAAAGAAAAGATTAGTCTGGAAAACACATTGCAGCTGATCATATTTTCCACTAAATTCTTGATTTCTGCCTATTTGCAACTCTAAACACACTACTTCATACAGTTGGGGGGTGACTGTTCAGACCACACTACAGAGGCACCTCATAAGTAACTGATTTTTCTATTTTGTCCCACACTGGTGGACTGAGGATTTACCTGAGGAGTAAGAGCTGGTCCAACCCTGGCTGAGGCCAAGGGAGTTTCCTCCCCAGGTGGAGGAGTTTCTGGTGTTCTGGGATTCAGGCCTGGTGTTCGTAAGGCCTGGAGGGGGGCGAGAGGGAGCACTGGTGTTACGTGTCCCTGGGGAAACCTTCCATAACTCATGAGATAAAGACGCCTGTGTGTGGGAGATGGGTCCAGGGGACCAGGTAGACTTCATTTCCAAGAGTTTACCTGGAAAACGGAGAAGAGGAAGAAAGAGAGAGACAAATTAATAAAAGCAGCAGCTATAGTCACCATCCATCACTGCCTTTACCTCTCCCCACCAGCGTTTTGTTTTTGCAAAACCTTCATGGCCCCCAGAATATTTTGTTGTATGAATATCTGAACAATATACACTCACCTGAAGGATTATTAGGAACACCATACTAATACTGTGTTTGACCCCCTTTCGCCTTCAGAACTGCCTTAATTCTACGTAACATTGATTCAACAAGGTGCTGAAAGCATTCTTTAGAAATGTTGGCCCATATTGATAGGATAGCATCTTGCAGTTGATGGAGATTTGTGGGATGCACATCCAGGGCACGAAGCTCCCGTTCCACCACATCCCAAAGATGCTCTATTGGTTTGAGATCTGGTGACTGTGGGGGCCAGTTTAGTACAGTGAACTCATTGTCATGTTCAAGGAACCAATTTGAAATGATTCGAGCTTTGTGATATGGTGCATTATCCTGCTGGAAGTAGCCATCAGAGGATGGGTACATGGTGGCCATAAAGGGATGGACATGGTCAAAAATAATGCTCAGGTAGGCCGTGGCATTTAAACGATGCCCAATTGGCACTAAGGGGCCTAAAGTGTGCCAAGAAAACATCCCCCACACCATTACACCACCACCACCAGCCTGCACAGTGGTAACAAGGCATGATGGATCCATGTTCTCATTCTGTTTACGCCAAATTCTGACTCTACCATCTGAAAGTCTCAACAGAAATCGAGACTCATCAGACCAGGCAACATTTTTCCAGTCTTCAACTGTCCAATTTTGGTGAGCTCTTGCAAATTGTAGCCTCTTTTTCCTATTTGTAGTGGAGATGAGTGGTACCCGGTGGGGTCTTCTGCTGTTGTAGCCCATCCGCCTCAAGGTTGTGCGTGTTGTGGCTTCACAAATGCTTTGTTGCATACCTCGGTTGTAATGAGTGGTTATTTCAGTCAAAGTTGCTCTTCTATCAGCTTGAATCAGTCGGCCCATTCTCCTCTGACGTCTAGCATCAACAAGGCATTTTCGCCCACAGGACTGCCGCATACTGGATGTTTTTCCCTTTTCACACCATTCTTTGTAAACCCTAGAAATGGTTGTGTGTGAAAATCCCAGTAACTGAGCAGATTGTGAAATACTCAGACCGGCCCGTCTGGCACCAACAACCATACCACGCTCAAAATTGCTTAAATCACCTTTCTTTCCCATTCTGACATTCAGTTTGGAGTTCAGGAGATTGTCTTGACCAGGACCACACCCCTAAATGCATTGAAGCATCTGCCATGTGATTGGTTGATTAGATAATTGCATTAATGAGAAATTGAACAGGTGTTCCTAATAATCCTTTAGGTGAGTGTATACTGTATGCAATATATCAAAAGAAAGAACAGAGCCTCTGCTTAAAAAAAAAAGTTATTCTAGCTTCAAAGTGTATCCATGTTGTTCGTCGTTCTCTATTTACCCCTAGAATAGGGGAGGATATAACAATTAAATATATTTTAACATGTAATTTATTACTTTGATCACAAAGCTAAATTTTTAGCAGTCATGATTCTTTGATCCTTCAGAAGTCAGCACAACTGTTTTCAACATTGATAATTGAGAGTTGTTTCTTGAACACCAAATATCATCACATATTAGAAAGATATTCAAAGGATCATGTGACACTGAATACTGAGTAATGGTTGCTGAAAATTCAGCTTTGCCATCACAGGAATAAATAACATTTTAAATATTTTAATTTTTATTTGCACTACTATTTTACAATAGTACAGTTTGCTATATTTTTGATTACATAAAAATGCAGTCCTGGTGAGCAGAAGACACTTCTTTAGTGTCTCTGGCCATTAACAACATTTAAAACAGTAAAAGTATAATAGAACAAGGGAGAATGTGGGTTTTAGGAGAACACTTTGTGAGGGACCTCTCCAGGTGTAAGACGGGGTTCAAAAAAATGTAAGCAGGTCTAGGATTTGAGGGGTGTGCCGTTTAGGGTTTAGGGCTGTACCTGAGTTGTCAGCATCCCTCTCGTTCTGAGAGGACGGACCAAATGAATTATAGGGGCTGACCGACCACTCACTCGAGGATGACAGAGTCCCACTCTGAGATGGGGACAAGGCTATTATGGGCGTTTGTCCCAAGTGGACAGCAAAAGGGGGCAGAAACAGTGAAATTCATTTACTATGTAATGCTCCTTAATATACTGAATTTTGTTATAACTTTAATTAAAAAGCAAAAGAGTTCAACATTGATTTACCATTTAACATTCTCTGTCATATCTTATGTCATATGCTATCAATCATCCCTCACCTCCAGTCCTGTCACGTAACAGGTAGCGATTCACATCTTGTATGTTGGTGTTGATGGTGGGGCCATTTGGAACACTTCCTGGGGTCATGTTGGGGTCATTCTCAGGGTCAATGTTCTGCAGACCTTTCCATGGCACTCCAGGGCAGAATTCTGAGAGAAAGCAAGGACAAATTGGGTTTCACTGAATCTGGTAAATACAGTCCGGCTGCATATTGATGATAATTACAATATTCTATAACAATTTACTCAAGACTCAGTGCCTATAATCTCTGTGATCAATAACAATAACATTGTTTTTAAATTATAATATGCCACTGAAGCTCACCTGGAGGCCAGTTGATATTGGAGCCACTAGAGATTTTCTCATTGGGACTTTTGCCCTGTGTCCAGCTATCAGGAGACACCAAGGTGCTGGTGGGGGATTCAGATCTTGACATCAGATTGTATGGGCTGAAAGAATCTTCCATGGCGCTCTTTCCGACAGGCATATGGGACTGAGCAGCAGAGATTGGACCTGAAATAAAAGAACAGTCTCTTTAATCACAAAAAGTTCTAACCAAAAACCTCAAGTAATAAAATATTCAGAGACTAAGCAACCCATACTCAGAAATATACTTTGATGCCCAATATTTGAACTGCTATTTTGCCTCTCTAAACATTTTCCATTTTCAAAAGACACGATCTGAATAATAAGATTCAAGATTACAGGCTTGAGCTTTTGTCCTCGGCTGAACTCACTCCAGTAAACTCCTGCGGTTTGGCTGGACTTACAGTTCAGGCAAGTTTTACTGAGAATCAATGCCAAGGAAGGATAATATTTTAAAAAGGCCCTGCTGACTCAGAGCAAAAATAACTCTGGAATGTCTGCAAGCACTTAACTTGACAGGCAGTTTGGTCTGTCCTTTTGAAATGCACAAATCTCAGGGACAGAAGTGTGACTCAGTGTCTGGAGTTTGATGTTTGATTAAAGATATTGCTGTGCTTTCATTGGGTGGAATGTTGTTTGTGGAAGTAAATGTCTTTAAAAGGATGTTAGACCTAGAGGTTAGCAAATGATTGTCTTGACATTTTAGATTAGATTAAAAAACTAACAAAATCAAGCCCATAATATGTTTGGAGTAGTGAAACAACTAATACCATGTTTATTGAGGTTTGCCTCCATGTGCTGAGCGCTAACCGTCATGGAATCTATGGAGTTTGAATGAGTCCATTGTGAGAGTCGGGATTGAGGCTGAGGAGGGTCTTTCAGAGATAGACCTCCCCCCTCCATACAGTTTACATTCATGTTCGGGGTCAAACCAGCTACAGGGGGTGACAGAGAGACAACAGATTAATGCACTTTTTTTCACACACAAGCACACACGCACATTCACACACAAACACACACAAAGAAAAAAAAGAATAAAAACAATTACAAACAATGCTGTTATTACGACAAAGAACTATCAACTATCAGAATCTACTATTCAAAAAGAGTTTACAATTTAAATTTTAGGAGTCCTTGTTACAGTGTAATTATACAATAATTTACTAAGAAATATTAATTAACAACATATCCTTACTATAGGGAAGTGGTTTGGTTCAGTGTTAGTTGTTTGTAATTATGCATAATTTATTGTTATTACTTTACTAAGTATATGTAACATGTATAACATGGACACTGTAAAATAGTGTTAAAAACACACAGCAAGCATAACCATGCAGGCATTTGTCCATATGTGGCTTGTTCTCTTACAGAGTGTATAAGGGCTGAAGGAGTTTGGAGAAGACTGCTGATCTTTGGTCTGCAGGTCAGACACGGAGAGGCCTGAATTCTGAGGGTGACCCATGAAGGTGTCCAGGCTTGCCTTGCCAAGGTTTGGGTGCAGGCCGATGTGAGAGGAAGGAGGAGGCTGCTGCTGTTTCATAAGCAGAGTCTGGGCCAGCTGACGCTGGTGCTGCTGGATCTGCTGCTGCATGTTTGTGATTGTACGTGCAACCTGCGTGAGAGAACGACAGAGATAATCATTTCCACTGTATATGGAAATTAATAATTACTTGTCATAGTCATCAAAAGATAAGCACTTACTAATATTTCAGGACTATAATCATGGTAACTAAAAAATATCCCCCATTTTTTTATTTTTTTATTTGTGTGATTGTGTCATACTTGCTGCTCTTGTTGTTTGATGGGACCAGAGACATTACGCTGAGCCTGCATCATTTGCTGCTGAATCTGCAAACGCTGATATGCCTGACAGAGAGAGAAAAAGACAAAAGGTGAGAAAGAGGAACATACAGAGAAATAGAGAAAAAGAAAGAAAAAGAAAGAGAAATAGTGTACAGAAGGCAGATGTGGTTATTATTTACTCAGAAAGCAGTATAATCTCACTCCCTGCAGACAGGCCAGTGGGTAGAAACAGCAGAGCAAGAGAGTGAATTGTGTGACTCACCACCTGCAGTTGTTGTAGTTGGTACAGCAGGGTCATTTGTTGAGGATTTATTGGTGAGGTTAAAAGTGCAGGATTCAGTCCAATGTTTTTTGCCGCAAACTGTAAGAGCTGTGCTTGAACCTATTGAAAAAAATAAAAAATAAACAAAACCCACATTTGAAATTAAACTAAAATATATAATAATAATAATAATAATAACATAACAATAATAATAATGGAAGAAACACAGGTGTGTGCACAACCTGACGATCTATGTTATCCAGCATGTTTTGAGAATGTAACAGTACAATCTTGTATGTTTCAATGGAAGGAAATCTGACCTTTTGGTCAATGTCACAAAATTTGCTTTTATTAGAGACCTCCAAAATCTTAAATATTGCTAATTCACTTTACATCAATGATATACCTCCAAGAGTAACCAATAGAGTGACATTCAATTTAAAAATTGCCTTGTACCATGAACATTCATAATGCATAATATACATTTTAAATATCTTTTTTTGTATTTTGCATAATAATAATATTAATAATAATAAATAGACATGTAGGCCAGGGTCGGAAATTAACGGGGTTTGGGCAAAAATGCTAATCCCAACTCTAACCCTAAAATCCAAAATTAATAAAAATGCCCCCAAAATTCAAGACATGGAGACCAAAAATTCCCCTGTATGAGCTCTTGTTATATTTATAACATTTATAACTTAAGAAACCGTGATATCAAACATGCTAAAGAGTAGGGGTGGGAATCACCAGAGGCACCACGATACGATATTATCCCGATACTTAGGTCACGATACGATATTATTGCGATTTTAAACATATTGCGATATTCTGCAATATATTGCAATTTATTACCTTTTTCCAACTTCAAATTATGTCCGCAAAGGAAAACTTTGTCAACATCTGTTTGTTCATGTCACATCAATTTTATTGCCACAAAATGTGATTATCAAGCCAACTAACTAACAAACACATGAAACTGTGATAAATGTTGCATACACCTGGCAAACTGAACTGTTTGCATTTAAGGTGGACTAGACTGTAATACAAACAGGTATGCACTGCTGTGTTACTACAGGTATTTTTAACAATGCAACTTGTACAAGAAAAAGGTGTGCAGACCCTTCAGCCACTAGGGAATTAGTAAAGCAATAACTGTTGAATTTAAATAAAAAAAAAAACATGTAGTCTTACATTAAAATAAAATGTTACATTTAAATTAAATAAATAAAACATGTACTCTTTAAGTAAACAAAATGTGCTACAGTTTGCTGCCAACCTTGGTCCTAAAAAGAGTTCAAAAACATTTGGACAGTGAAGAAATGTCAGCATTTTTGCTCAGAAAGAGGAGCTGATCCACATGCTCTGAGCTTAGAGTGCTCCTTTGTGCTGTGACGATGTCTCCGGCCGTCGAGAAGACTCTTTCAGCTGAGACGCTAGTCCCTGGGATACAAAGGTATCTTTTTGCCAGCTTGGCCAGGAAAGGATAGACTCGCTCATGTGATTTCCACCAGCTTAGTGGATCTTCTGTGAGGGCCAGTGGTGTGACCTCCTGGTATCTTTTCACTTCCTCCTCGGCTATGGCAGATAATGATTTTTGTGGGGCTCCAACATCACCATAAGTCTGACCAAGTAAGTCTGTTAGCCCACATGACTTCCTCATCTTGGCTGGAATGACAGGGGGTCCGGTATCCTCTTTAGTGTAGCCAGGTTCCTCCTGATGCTCCTGGACTTCTGGCTCAGAGATAGTCTGCTGCCTAATTTCTTCCTGTAGAATACACACACACACACACAATGAGTGTGAATAAATATGTATTGCATGTTTAGATAAATATGCAGTAAATGTTATTTCTCTTTAGTAATTTAGAGTTAATTTGTCTTTATTTTTTATCTTTACTAATATGACTACAATATAAGCAGAGCAATGACACGTGGGTTAAAATGTATGTAATGCTTCTATTATTTAAATGTTTGATTACCTGAAGTGTTACAGCCTCTGGAACCACTCTGGCAAAGGTTTCCTGTCTCTCCTCCAAGGACAGGAATGGCAGGGTTTTAAACCGGGGGTCCAGGGATGATGCTGTGTAGAGGGTGTTCTTCTCTGCTGCACTGGCATATCTCTTTTTAAGATCTTGACTGATGCTTTGTTTGACGTCTCTGATCAGCGCTGTGTCACCAATGGTGTCCTGTGTGTCATGCAACAACTGTGCGAGCAGCGGTGCTACGAGTGAGAGAGTAGGATTCTTTTCCTCAGACATCAAAGTGGTCGCCACTTGCATCGACTTCAATGCACGCACAATTTCTTCAGCATTCCCAATTTCAGCCTCATTCAATGTGAAGACATCTGTGCTACTCTTTCTTACTTCAGGAGACAACAGCGCGGCACAAATAGCAGGTTGCTGTTCAAGAAACCGCAGTAGCATTTCATAAGCACTGTTCCATCTCGTGCTGACATTAGTCTTCAGTTTATGGGTTGGGAGCTGTAACATTTTCTGTTTTTTCTCCAAAGCGTGGTTTGCCACTGTGCTTCTGTTGAAAAAGCCGGTTATTCGCCGTACTCTCCCCCATGAGCCTGGCCACTGTTGGCAGATTTAACGCCCCATGCGACGCCAGATTTAGTGTGTGCGCGAAACACTTCACGTGGAGGTGTCCCGCTAACTGAACGGCGACGGTCATATTAGAAGCATTGTTGGTGACAACCACCAGGTTTTTGTCTGAAATCCCCCATTCCCGTCCTGCATTTTGCAGGAGGTGAACCATGTTAGCCCCTGCTCTAGTTTGGAGAACGTAAGACCGCAGTTGCCAGTCTTCTGTGAGATAATGGTCACATCGGAATCCACTGCCCGTGAGGTCCATGCATCACAAGTCATTGCAACACGTTCTGCCGTTTTTAAACTTTCCTGAACTTGAAGTTTTCCTTCTTTGTAGAGCTTGGGTACTGCTGTATCCGTGTCTGTACCAGTGTCTTAAGCAAGTGACAAAAGCCTTCATTTTCCACAACGTTGTATGGGCACAGGTCTTTGAACATGAAGTAGGCGATGGCTTGAGTTATTTTCTTTGCTCACTCTGAATTGGGAGGTAGCTTTGTCAAGCTAAGTGTGTCCAGTGTTGGTTGATTTTTCGGCTGAGCTGGTTTAGCATTAGCGTCCTCGGCTAACGCTAACTCTGGATGGTGGCGTGTGAGATGAGCCCTGAGATGAGCCCAGAGTATTTTATTTTCATTCGACACTCCTTGCAAATCCCATGTTTCATATCCATCTCAGTTGTCCCCTCTTTGTTAAAAAATCAGAAGAAAGTCTATACACTTGATTTAAACGCAGACGGTGCATTTCTGATTTCTTTCTCTGATGCTACCATGTTTATTTTATCTACGTCCTCCTGCAACCCGACAGTCACCCCGCTGACCTCACAAGAAAACAAACAGCACCATCTAGTGGACTGAATGAGCAATTGATTTTTAGCATTCTACTACCAAAGTTAAATTCTCATGTGTAATTTAAATAATAAATTACCCGCCCGTGCATCGATACAGTATTGCCACAGAAAATATCGCGATACTATGCTGTATAGATTTTTTCCCCCACCCCTACTAAAGAGTGCTGTTCTCCTTCATAGGTTCACTCAACGCTGCATAGCGATGACGCAATGGAAAATGCCCTTGGGCGGTGCTGATTGTTTGAACCCATATAGAATCATGCCAATTTATTGGCTGATGGCGCGGTTGCGTCCTCAGCGGCGCTACAGTACGTCATTCACTCTTAATACAGTGAACGCGCCATCTGGTCCTCAGATTTTCTTCTTCAGAAGAAGCGGTTTATCTGGCCATTGCTAGTTAGGCATTGTTTGATTGGATATTCTCTTTATGTGCTTCAGTGACAGCATATAGTGGAACTTGCTTCGTTCTCCTCTCTGTGCAGCACAATGGATCTGCATCGTTGCAAGCCACCGTGCTCTCGCTTCATTGCAAGTGACGACCCGCACGGTAAGTGTGTGAAATGCCTCGGCCTGTCAAATGCACGCAAGGCTATTTATGGTGCTTCAAGTTTTGAGAGAATTTTAAGCTTAAAACTCTGCGCAGGAGGCTTGCTTGCTTTGAAAAGGATTCATCTGCTCTCCCCCGTCGCTCTGTGACCAATGAAGCGGCTATGGCTCGTCATGAATCCGTGGCCTGGGGATCGGATGTTGAGCTTGAGGCTATGAAGAGTGAGCAAGTCGGTTTCTCCCTCTCTCGCCCCAGCGCTCCTGTCCTCTGTGGTTCTCCCTGTCTTATCCGATACCTCTGGGGATAGATGGCTTTGCTCATCCATGGCCGGATTTGAGACTATATGCATCCCCTCCGGTCAAGTTGATCCCTGCAGTCCTTTGCAGGGTGAGGGAGTGCAGAATTTGTCTCCTATTGGTAGCCCCATTCTGGCCATCTCAGACGAGGTTTTCGGAGCTGAGCTCCCTGGTGGAGGGGTCCCTGTGGGAAATTCCAAACAGGAAAGATGTTGTCTCAGGTACAGAGCAGGATTTGGCATCCTCGACCCGAGATATGGAGGCTGTGGGTGTGGCCAATAAGGGGTGGTCGCTAATGGCTTCTGGTCTTCCTGCTAATGTTCAGGAGACCATTGATAAAGCTTGTGCTCCTTCTACTAGACAGCTGTATTTGGAAGGTCTTTGAGTCGACTCGTGCAGTGAATCTAGTCAGCTGCCTGGTTGGTTCAGTGCTGTAATTAAGGATTAGTTAATTACAGGATAAGTTTGTGGCCGGAGAAGCTACAACTACTTTGAGGGTTTACGTCGTGGCTATCACCGCCCGTCGAGTCAGACAAGATCCCCCTTAGGTTGACACCATCTGGTGTCTTCGTTTTTGTGTGGAGTTAGACACTTGAGGCCTGCACATCCTGTTAGTGTCCCCACCTGGGATTTATCGGTTGTTTTGGAGGGGTTATTGGAACACCCTTTCGAACCTTTAGAGTCAGCTCCTGACCGGATTCTGATGCTCAAGGTGGCACTCTTGTTAGCATTAGCCTCTCTCAAGTGTGTGTGGGATCTGCAGGCTCTTTCTGGAGCCTTGCATGGAGTTTGCTCCAGCCTTGCATGGAGTTTGCTCCGAGTTTCTGTGACCCAGGCCTGTTTGTGTCCCCGAAGTTTTGTCCACGTCCTTTCGCTCTCAAATGGTTGCGTTTCATTCTTTCTGTCCTCTCCAGGCTTTAAAAGTGTATGTGGACCACTCTGGCCAGTGGCGCAAGTCGTCTCAGTTGTTTGCATGCTTTGGGGCCAGCCGCAGAGGGCTCGCCGCATCTAAGCACAGAATCTCTCATTGGGTGAGAGGCACAATTTCTTTGGCTTATGAGGTGCGGAAGCTCCCTTCACCTCTGGGTGTTAGGGCTCACTCTACTAGGAGTATCGTGTCTTCCCAGGCTCTTTTTGGAGTTCCTTTGGAGGATATTTGTGTGGCGGCAGGTTGGTCCTCTCCGTACACTTTTATCAAGTTTTAAAACCTAGATTTGGATGCGGCCCCTGGTTCTTTCCGAATGAACTGGTCGCTTTTGTCCTGGTTGAGTTTGGCGTGTTCACTGTATTAAGAGTGAAAGACGTAGCTCCGCTGAGGAGGTGCCCGCGCCATCAGCCAATGAATTGGCGTGATTCTATATGGGTTCAGACAATCAGCACTGCCCTAGGGCACTTCCCATTGCGCCATCGCTACACAGCGTCTCGTTCCCTATTCAGAGTTACACAGGTAGCCAGAGACGTTTTCCTAGAACATCAGTAAGATAGCAAGTAGGGATGGGACGATTACCGGTTTCACGATAAACCACGATAAAATGTACTGACGGTTAGTATTATCGTTTAAAATTTAATTATCATTAAAACCGTGTTTGATTATCGCAATTTTAGTAACTCACTGTAAATCCAGTCCAGCCAGCAACAGTCTGACGCAGGCGCAGCGCGCAATGTTTTTTTTGTTTTTTTTTTCGAGAAGGAATGGCGGAAGGCAGTGACCGTGCTCGGGAGATTTTTCTAGCCTTTTAAGAGGAACAAATCTGAGGTGTGGTCATATTTTGGCTTTTACAAAAGTCCTGAGGGAAACTTGATCGAGGATGGTCACCCTGTCTGCACAAAAAGTCGCTGCAATAGAAACACTTCAAATCTGCCGAGTCGTCTTGTGTGGCCATCACCCAGTGTTGTAACTTATAGCGAACGCAAGGCAAGTTAACTTGGACCTCAATACCAAAACTACGTCTGGGAAATAATTGGGCACGAAATATTGTTTTGAGTTGAAATATTTTATGTCACCCACTTGAAATAAACGTGAAGCTTACGCGAAGAAAGGTTCGCAGCAAGTGGCTTTGAGCCAAAGACGAACGAACAACTTCAAACAATACTATTATTAAGAGTGACATTTTAAGGGATAGTATAATGTATAGTTTCATTGTACACTTGTTACACCGATTTTATTTTTACCACATAATTACGGGGACATATTGAATTGAGATTAATGTTTTAAATCTTACCTGTTTATAAATCTATTTTGTACAGCGTACAAAACAATCATCCAGACAAGATGATCACAACAATATTATCAAACTCTGTAAACAATAAATCAACTCTGATTTCATTTTCAATACAATCAAAAACGGTAACTTAGACGCAAGACGGCAAGTTGTATTTGAATGAAACAAGAGAGCGCGCGTCCGTTGTGATACATGGATGTGCGCGCTGTGTAAGAATGCGTTGCTATTGACGACGGTCATTATAAAGAAGAAAATGCCACAGACTAGAATCTTGCTTAAAAAACTGCATAGAGCTGCTTGTTTTATTTGTTGTTTGTTGATTTTCAAGTATAAAACTTGTTGAAATGTTTTCAGTGTGAGCATCAGTTCTTTTTGAACATTTTCATCTCATTTTAACAAAACCGTGATAATATTGATAATCACGATAATTTTGGACACTATAATCGTGATATGAAATTTTCATACCGTCCCATCCCTAATAGCAAGTGTGATTTAGATTTTACACAACAGTTCAATAAACATGAAGTTAATATTAAGTGACTTTTTAGACTTAATATTATGAACATTTTGTCATGAAAGTAAATCCAAACAAAGTCATAGCAGGACAGTAGTACATCTCAGAGCCAGATGGAATTTCGAAAGAATCTGTAGAGTGAATGAAATAATGACCTGCTCACTGATCCTGAAGGAATTAGCCGTTTTGAACAAATTGCTTGAATTAATGATTCAATGACTCACTCAATAAGCAGCAATCAATTCAAATTTGTATATTCTATATATATATTTTTTTTATATTTGAATATTTTTATTTATATTAAATGGAGTTCACTGGATTTTGAAATGACAAGTGTAATTTGTACCACCTGAGGGGAGAGAAGCTGAGGCACTTGAGCACGTAGAGTAGGCTGGGCGGAGCTAAGAGGTGGCACTGGTGGCTGAGGGGGCGGGGCCTGCTGCTGCATGACCCGAGTTTGTGCTGCTCCGTTAGTGCCGAACATTCCATTCTGCATCTAGGAAACAGAGTAAAGGGAGGGTTGGGTAGCTCAACATTTTTTTGACTTGATTTTTATACAAAAAATAATGTGCTTTTAACATAGACCTGAACACAATGTCATATTGTCCTACCGCTTTCAGATTCAAAGTAAATAATTACAAATAAATAAATAAATAAATACATTTTCAAAAAATAAAAAATAAGTAAATATCATGCAAACATCACACCAAACGGTAGGGCATGATATCAGACAATGCAGATGTATAGACTAGGTTAAATGCATGCATCTAAACTTAAAACTACTGTGTGCGATGCCCTATGCAGATATTTCAAAACACTCACCTGTCTGTTGTTCAAGTTTTGCATGGACAGGCCAGAAGAGACGCCACCCAATCCGTGGCTAGGGAGGCTGCTATTGGCCAATGGGTGCTTGAGGCCAGGAGAAGGCATAAATGGTGAGGTTGAAGCATCATCTGACAGCCTGCCATCCTGAGAGACCAGAAAATATGTTGAAAAATGTACCCAGCAAAAATTTCTCACCACTTCAGTCCAGAAAAATGTATTGGAATTTTTTCTCCAATTTATTCAATCAAATAAAATCTCAAAAAAGTTTAAGACAAGGCTATACCTTGTCCAGGAAGGGGGCACGATCCAGTGAGGGGTCTTTTGAGAGGTTTGTGGGTCGGCACACCATGGGCCTATTCATTCCATTACTGTAGTCTGACATGCACATCCCCCGTTTGTCCAGTTCAGTTTTTTTCTCCAACAAAGCGCCTAGGGAAAGGCAAGTACAAAATTAGTGTTCCAGACCAAGATCATGACTCACTGCATGTCTGTCTGCTGTTATGGGTTAACTTCAAAAGGAACTACATACTCATGGCCTGATCTAGATTCATATTGTTGCTCTTTAGGGCTTCTTCTGCAGGATCCTTCTGTACCAGGTAAAAGAAAACAAACTGTTATGCTAAAAAAAATATATTTGACATGTCTTGTTAATTATGGAATCAACATATCTTTCCAGAATAAATAGGTTTTAACATACTGGAAAACCCATGTCTGTAAGCTGCTTGATAAGTCTGGTCATGATCCAAACGTCATCATGCTGGTTGGAAACCTTGCCCTATAATGAACAAACAGCACTCCATAAGGCAAAAACATACCACATAAAGCAAATAATATATACATACAGTATGGGTCAAAGACGAAAAAAAAGGTGTTTTCAAGCATCAAACCGTACGGAACACAACGGAACACTGGCACAGAGGAACTTTCAGAAAGTTTTTTTTCCAGCTGATGACTGATAAAAACATTGACAGCCAATCAGAGTCCATTCCACTTCAAAGAGCTAGAGCATTTAAAGCAGCAGAGACAACAAAACTGCAGTGCATGCTTAGAATAAACAGAGCATTATTGTTCACTGGTGTGGACGCTAATCTAGTCATCGTTTATATTTATCATTCTTGGTGTAAACAGGCCTTAAGAGTGTCACCCAAGCTACGGGGTCTGCATTTACTTTTTACAGTGCCTAGCAACTCTCTCTGTTCATGGGCATCTAAAATAAATCAACGACACAAATAAAACTACAGTATACCAAAATGCATTAAAATAGTAATATTTATTAAGTTTAACACATTTGTCAGTGCTAAACATTCCTCATTTATTCTGTAATATAAATAAGATGCTAAAATTGTTATCTATACTGTGATACTGTCATTCGTGGTGTAACAGAGAATTTGCATTACACTGAATGACAAAAACATTACTCTTTCTGAATGACGAAACTTCTACTTCAGCTTATTGCAGGCTATCAACTGGACACCTATATCTAACGGTAAGCTTGACCAGTAAAGTTAATCACAATTATTCACAACATTTACTTATTTTTCAAATTTCAATGACGTGTGTTTTTGTAACTTAGGTTACTACACCATTAAAAGGTTAAATTATATTAAATATTTAAGAGCAATAAACTCACTTTGCTGCAGCACCACATGGTCTTCAGGATGCCTTTTGATAATGTCAGACTGTCGAATGACTATCAGTTTTTTATATGATTTCAGACTGGCTTCTTTTCCTTTTACACTAAATGACCTCTAACAAACTGCATATTTGAGACAAAAAAGTCCCCTGGTTATTTCAATACTTGGACCATTAGGGTGAATAACAATTTTACACTTTGGAACATTATTTCACCCATATTTTGACATTTAATTTTCAAAAAAGTTATCTGAAACATGAAAAGTAGACACTTTACTTGCATTTAATGTTTTGTTTTTTTTAAAATCACTTTAGTAAATGTAATTTTATGTGGACATCAAAATGGTGAAGTGTCGTCTTTGACCCATAGTAATTATTAATAAAAACTTTTTTTCGGACTAATAATTTTACATAAACCATTTCTTAACCACAAAATGAATATGTGACACTGAGTATGCATTACAGGACAGTGTACTGGTGGCTTTGAATGGCCTCAATTACCCTTTGTGGGCCCTTCTTGGATTGACCCCATGAGTTGCAAGAGGAGTCTTGGGATGTGGGACTGTTCCACATGTCACCATCATCAGCATCCCACTGGCTGGTGTTCATGCCAGTCTCTTCCCCTCCAGATCCCCAGCCATCTTGCATAGGTTTGGGACCTGGAAAAACACAATTGGTCAAGAATGCTCATAATCAGGGCCATATAACACTATATATTTTTATCTATTCTTAGATATGTGGATGGTTGACTAAATTATTAAATTTCATCTGCCCAATACTAAAAATATGGTTACATGTTGCCCATATACCAGGATCCACAGAAAAACCTTTAAGGTGAAGTGTGTAATATCTGCTGCACCAGGGTCACTAAACGGAATTGCAAACATAATTGCTGCATCCCGACTATATAACATGGAAAAAACAGTACGCAAACAGAGTAGTATGTCCGAATACATAGTATTCGAAAAACAGTAGGTGAAAAGCATCCAGATGACCTACTACGTCCACCAAAATTCTGAAGGGCGCATTCAACGGACACTTTACTATATCCCATGAGGCCACGGGAGAGGAGTTGTGAATGGCAGTGAAACGACACAACTGATCAACACTGGCCGCCACATATTGCGTTTTGTTATTCATTTATTTTTTTAACGCTATTTAAAACACGCAGCGTATTTGTTCAGCTGCATTTCCTTTCCCTGCTCTCTCTCCGTCTCTCTCGGCCGCCAAAGCAAATTTTTGTCCAGCCAAAGCCTTATTTGATCGGTGAGTGATGTAGATGATTGCTGCGCTTGTGACATGTTACTGAAAGAACGAGCAGAGAGAGAGCCCCGGCCGCGCACGCGCACTCTCACCGTCTTCAAACTGTCTTGCTCTCTCTCGCTCCCTCGCGCATATTAATCAAAATCAATTGAGAACTGACACGATGGTAAAAGATAGGAAGACCGAAGTTCACGTGGAGCATTCGGATATTTTTTCCCTGAATTACCGCTGGGTGTGAATTGTGCTAAAAAAACGTTGCCTTATCTTCTCTGAAAAGTATATTTACTTGTCTCAGCATGTTAAGCTGGGATAGTATAAACTATTTAACACCAAAACAAAAATCAAAAAACAAGCTTCAAGTATAGTAATGCAATCAGTACAGGAGTTTTATTCAACCACCAGAGGTCAGTGTAGTTTAACTTTATCATCATATTTATAAAAAAAAACAAAAAAAAAACAACAACAACATTTAAGAATCAGCAATGACTTGAGATTTCCCACTTTTGTTATAGCAAGTGCTTTAATGTAAAGAGTTTTATTTTGTTTAATTACCTTCCTGACAGGGGCCTGATCCAGCAGGTGCATTTCCTCTGCCATAAGGTCCACTGGAGTCATAAGCACTTTCACCCCATCCTCCACAGCTCTTAGTGGGTTGGCCTTGACCCCAAGCTGAAGTGCCATTGTCCACAGAAGGGTTGGAATTGGCTGGCTCGCCCCATGTAGAGGGTTCTGTATTTGACTGGACATTAGGGAGCTCTCCCCAACCTGAATCAAACATTATCAGTATAACTTAAGATGAAGTATTTAAAATACAGAAAATAATATTTTCCAATTGATTAATCAACTAAATAATCAATAGATCGATTATGAAAATAACTGTTAGCTGTTGTCTTATTAACTTGTACATATAATACAAAAAAATAAGTGCACTGCATCAGATAAAGTCAAATTATTGACTAAAAAATGAAATTTAATAAAAACAGACAGTCTAAACTGGCCTGGGAAAACCCAGACAACTTCAGGCAAATTTAGATTTGCTCTGAAAGTTAGTCTGGCAAAGAGCTCATTCAAGCTCATTTCCAATCCGCCGAAATCGAGGCACCAATCAGAAATGTTGGGGCGGGCTTTACACGATGACGACAGCGCTGGGATTTTGAAGCAGATTTTGTAGCCTAGATTACAAAGATGGATGCCGCCGTCGAACATCACTCGTTCGAATCAGCTATCGCGTCTGTTTTAAGCGATTTGAACGTTTCCTTTTTGTTAAAAACCGAGCAAAGAACAACACTCGGAGATGTTTCTGCCGCTCTGCATACGTCATCTCCTTCATCGCTCTGATTGGTTTTAGGTCTATCCGCGACGTCCGTTGGTGACGCCCCTCTGGAAATGATTTGTCTATGACGCTTTGCCAGACCATAACTCAGTTACAACTGAGAATGGTCTGGTTTTAACCAGGCTAAGTCTGAACCAATATATAGAGAAAATACAGAAAAAGCTCTCAGAAATATGGAAAAGGCAGATTACATATATATATATATATATATATATATATATATATATATATATATATATATATATATATATATATATATATATACATATATATATATATACATATATATATATATATATATATCCTAAATTATCCCTCAGCACTAACACTGAAAAAAACAAAAAACATTTGTGAGGATAACAGCACATCTAAGCCAAGTACGCAACAGTCATGGGCATGTCATTCCTGGTTCAAATCTAAACCATTTGGGGCAGCAGAATGCACACTGAGGAATCTTAACTGGAGTATGTTATTTTTTTCGACAGTAGTCAACAGATGGAGCCAACCACGACTTTAATAATTTAAGCAATTATATTAATGTTTGTCAGATGTACAGAGGACTAGAATAGGCATTAGAAAGGGAGAAATATATGCATTCTCTCACCTGGATTTCCCATGGGCATCCTGTTAATAGGAGATTCACCTTGACTGGGTGAGCCATTGTTGATGTTGCCATTGACATGGTTCTGAGTGGGACCTTGGCTGTGGTGTTGGTGATGGTTGCTGTTATTGTTGTTGTTTGGCCCAGTGATGCTATGACTGCTGCCATTCTTGTTGGTTCCTGTATGATTTTGGGAGTTATTTCTGTCCCACATGTTCACACTCTTGCAGTAAGCACTGGGGTCACCCCAGGAGGAGGTCCCATCATCAATTTCCATTTTGCGACGAATAGAAGATGGAGATGGTTCATCCCAGCCTGTGGCCTCATCTCCTGGATCCTGGTGGCCTCCTGATGCCCAGCCAGAGTTGCTCTGTTTCACAGAATTTGGGCCACACCATGATCCTATGCCTCCAGCTCCACTGTTGCCACATGTGGATTCCTGAAGTTTTCCACCCCAACCTTGGGCTGAATCATTGGAATGTTGAGAATCACCCCAACCACCACCCTGTGTTGGTGCTGATTTACCCCAGCCTCTCTGGGTTTCCTTCCAGTTTCTGTTTTCAGAGTCCCTAGAGGAACTTCCAGAGCCACTTTTCCGTATTTCTGAAGAGTCAGCCCACTCTCCACTATTACCACTGCCACTACTTCCCCAGCCTGAGGATGTTTTGGGTCCATCACCCCAACCTTGTGTTTTCTTCTGAGAAGTACCATCATCCCAGCTAGGAGACTTTTCTTCAGAAGCCCAAGATTGGCCATTACAGCCATTGGTGTTGAGACCCTCGGCAATGGGATCGCGCCAGCCACATACGGATCCATTGGGAACCTTTTTATTTGCAGGAGGTTCGCCCCATCCACCATTAGGTTGAGTAGAGGCTGGGGCTGATCCTCCCCAGCCTGTGTTTGGCGTGGCTCTGCGAGGTTCCTCGCTCTTGCTTGTGTCCATTCTAGGAGGTCCATTGTGGTTGGGATTGGCACATCCAGGAGGAGATGGTGCAGGTCCAGTTAAAGGTGTGTTGGACGAAGACCCCCAGACCTCGCCGCCTGCATCATTCTTTTTGTCTGGACTTTGCTCCATTTGCCAAACAGTGTGTTGACGAACTGGAGTCTGTCCCCAGCCTGAGTTACATAGGACACGTGGGTCCAAGTCCTGCCTTGGCAGCAAAGGGGCCAAATCATCACTTGAGGACCTCTCTCTTCTTCCTGGGTGGCCCTCACTACTATCCCTGCTGCCCTCACTTGCTGGAGTATCAGGGCCCCAGGAACTCATATGTTCTTGGGATGGACCATCATTAGCATCCCATCCTGTACCGTCAGTGCTTGGCTGTTTGCCCCATCCTGTACCGTCAGTGCTTGGCTGTTTGCCCCAGCCGCCACCACTGCTAGCTCCTCCATGCCCCCAAGAGGAGACGCTTGCAGAATCACAGCCTGAGTCCTTTGATTCTCCATTTTTGGCATCTCTGTTGCCCCAGAAAGCAGTTCCATCTTCGCTGGCAGGCTCAGTAGGTGACTGACCGAGGTTTCCTCTCCAGCTGTTCACTGGACTCATTGGCTCTGGTTTAGTATTATTTGGTCCATCAGTTTTAAGGTTAGGAGGTTTCATGTTGAAAGATACATTTGTGGGTGACTGGTGTTGTTCTGGGATATCCGGGTTGCCCCATGCACAGTCCCCTACAAGGTTTCCATTGACACAACCAATGCTACCATTTCCAATGGTGCTGTGAGGGTGTGCCACTCCTCCTTGGCCACACCTACTAAGTGAAAGTGAATTTGAGTAAACTATGCTACTAGGGCCTGACCCTACCCCAGGCCCCTCATGTCCAAGAGCTGGCCAAGCAGCAGGGTTGGCACTGGGGTTGAGGTTCAGATTAGAAGCACCCCAGCTGGACTGCCCTCTACTGCCCATGGGCAAGTCAACCTTTCCTTCTGAGACCCACCCCCTGTTAGGGCCACCTTGACTAGAGACCATACTAGAAGTGAGATTAACGCTGGCTTTGCTGATTGGGTAATGACCCTGCTGGCTAGCTCCTGTAGCCATAATAGTGCTACTACTGTTGCTGATGACCTCTGATGTGCGTTCAGCGTCCAAGGTGCATTCTGGTGTCTGCTGGCTCTTGCCGTATGTAATTGAAGGCCAAGTGTCTGTGTCGTTAATAATCACTTTATCCTGGTTGCCGCTGCTGCTTTTGGTAACTGGGATATTCCAATGACAATTCTCATGCTGGGGTCCCAGGACACTTTGATGGGGAAGTCCTGTAAAACAAATACACAGGGCAGATTTTTTTTATAGCAAAAATTGATAAAAAAAAAAGTGCAAGACATCATGAATCTTAAAATAAAACTATTACCAAGGGATATTTATTTTAGATTTTATTTTCATTTTAGTGTGGTCTGCAAGGTCCCCACAAAAATCAAGCTTCATCAACATGCTCCACAGATACTCAGAAGATACATACTAAACCTAGATGTATTCTCTCTCTCTATCACACACGCACGCACCCACATGTATTATCCATACCCTTAAAGGGTCATGTGGCAACTATATGATTCACTGAATAAATCAAACATAGTACCCATGACTAACCTAAGGTTTAGTTAAAGGGGTCATGACATGAGAAATACAATTTTCCTTGATCTTTTGACATATAAGAGGTCTTTGTACCACTAAAACATACTGTAAGTTTCAAAGTTTGAAACGCCGTCCTCATTATAAAAAAAGTATTAAATCAACCATGCTCTAAAAACGTCTTGTTTTAATATTGTGGGATCTGTGACGCAACACAGGTAAATACATTTAGATATGACTGCCTCAAGAGCAAAACATAGACAAAAAAAGTTATACACTGACAAAAAGTTATACATCATCGCATCACGGACCCCGCCCACTGGCGTTCAGTTGCTCAATAGTTGATGTGAGTACCACATCAAAAGCAAATAGAACCCATTATAATCATTGTCTACCATGGATACAGTGCACATATACCCGTGACGCGTCCCGTTTAAACACCTCACTTGCGTCTCTGTACAGACTTCAGAAGGACCCCATACAGTGTCAGGAACTAGTAGATCAGGGTTTCTCAAATCCAGCCCTGGAGGCCACTCTCCTGCAGAGTTTAGCTCAAACCATGTGTAGGAGCCAAATGTAATTTTTCCACCACCAGATGGCGGTGTGCATCAGTGGTGCAGGTGAAATCCACACCTGTTCTATCACATGGTATTTAAACTGAGTTGGGTTGAATCAGAAGGGAACAGGTGGCGGGAATATATGGTTCTTACCATAGAACCAGTGCAATGTAAAATCTCTAAGATCTCATTAAATGGACAAAAACAACTGTTCAAATGGATATCGCTGTGTGCAGTGTTTCATGTGTGAAGAACACCTTACCACCTGTCCAGGGCTTATAGGAAAGCCACTACACCATGATTGAACTCCCTTACCTGCAATTTTCTAGTAACTTTGAAGACATTGACTGACTAGCTTGTTCAGGTGTGTTTGATTAGAGTTGGAACTAAACTCTGCAGAGCAGTGGCCCTCCAGGACCAGATTTGAGGAACCCTGAAGTATAAGGTTTATTAAGTTTATTTTTAATGGTGCCCCTGATCGCGTCGGAGGATTATGTTTGTTTTGGAGCATTTGACTGCAGATTGTTTTGTAAACAAAGCACAGTGTAATGGAGATTTTGCAAAAATAAATGTGGTTGAAAAATAAAGCAACCAACTATATTGTATCTGACGACAGCTACATCGCAAACCACAAGTAAACAATTTCATAACACTTTGTCTGTAAATGACTGTTTTATGTAAATAGAGAAGGGGCGTTAATATTTTTCCTATGGAATGACGTTAGCTAGGGGTGGGCGATATGGCAAAAATATCATATCACAATTTTTTTCAGGAAAATCACGAATCACAATTCTTTTTCGAGTTGGTTTTACTATTTTGCAAGTGACTGAGCATTACAGCCAAACTAATGTCCCTATTTTAAAAACAAAGCCTTACAAGGAAACAAAATATAAAATACAAAAGAATGGCATACATTTAGGCCAAAGTGGCCAAACCTTTGTCATTAATTTCCTTGTTATTAAAAAATAAGAACAAAGATACATATTACATATACATAACATAATATACAAATATAATAAACAGTGCTTTTGAGCTACAGTAGGTGTATTTAATAGTAGTATTCAAGAAAGAAATTAAATGAACAAATATAAAAATGAAACACTACATAGACTTCACTGTATATTATAGATTGATTCTTATTAAAGCTACTATTAAAGTTCTCAGAACAGGGAGCGATTTTCTCTTTGTTTTTTTTTTGTTTTATTAACATTAAACGGATAGTTTACCATTTACTCTCTCAAGTTGTTTTAAACCTGAATAAGTTTCTTTCTTCTGTTGAAAATAAAAATTATTTTGAAGAATGTGGCTAACCGAACGAACAGTTGCTGGTCCCCAGTGACTTCCATAGTATATTTTTTCCTACTATGTAAGTCAATGGGGACCAGCTGATTGGTTACCCACATCCTTCAAAATATATTATTTTGTGCTCAGCACAAGAAAGAAATGAATACAGGTTTGAAACAACATGAGAGCGAGTAAATAATGACAGATTTTTTATTTTTGGGTGAGCTATCCCTTTAAGGACAAGCGGCAGTATGTTTATTACAGGTTACTGTCACTTTAAGACCGGCATGCATCTAATAAACAACACACATATGACACACACTCGATTTTCTCTCAAATGTTGCTTTCACTTTAGACAAAACCAACTGTGTTTATGTAAACCTTGTGTGTATTTGACAGTATTAGCGCAATAAGACTCGAAAGATAACTTAGTAACCAGGAGCTGTTTGACAGGCTTTTAGTGCCTGTGCGCTTAGGGTGTATGGGCTCAGAAAAGTGCATGTTAGAACAGCACATCAGTACCTGAATGAAATGTTAAAACGACAAGGCTTTTTAAATCACATGCAAATAATGAACTTTTGTGAATTGTCCCATGAGTGTAACTCTACTCTACGTTAACATAACATGTGATGTGAATGTACGTCGGGTTGCTGAGACGGAGGCGCCAGAACTGCAACTGATAGAATGGATTGTAGCGCGATACTACGATATTTCTTCAAAAGCAGTATCTCTGTATCCCTGACTCATGACTAAGACTACTCACCAAAATTACATTTAAAGGTTTTTTACAAGAAAAAAAATTCTTCATGCCTAAAAATAGCTTAAATGTAACTCTACAACCGTGCCTCATTTAGTATGCGGTTCTATGAATATGCAAATTAGACATGCCTCCGCTCACTCACGCCAGCTCAGAGATCCACTCGTTGATGATCACATATTGAACTGATTGGTTACAAGGTAGTTTGTGACGTCAGAAACACCAGCGATTTCAAACCGCGTTTTTGAGACTGTATTTGGTTCACTGCAGTTTTCAGGAGAAAATACTTGACTTATAATTTGACTTAAAGCATATTAAAAACACCACATAAACACCATTAAAAGCTTGATTTTCACCACAGGGGGACTTATAATATTATAAGTGAACCTCAAGGAAAATATTAAAATAATAAAAAAGCATCTAGTGTATTCTTTTGCAAATTTAGCATCATTGTACAAGTCTTTTCACTTTCCTTTAGTGTTTGACTGCACTGGGTCACTTAATTTAGACAATGAACTAATCAGTTGCTGATTCAATGTGAAGAAGATTGTCAGTCAAACAGAAGGAATCAATTTGTGTCAGCTCAAATTAATGTGCGGCTTATGATACCGCCTGGCCACAAAAGTGCCCAGTCCCTCAGAACACGGTTCTTCCATCTATACACTTATCTCCTCTTTCCAGGCAGCCTTATCACACAGGGCTATCAGACTACAGTGAATTTCTGCACCATGCATCAAAGTCCCTTTCAAGGAAAGTCTGTTCAATCTGAGGCTATATTGGACATTCAAGACTAAGTCTTATTTACTATAATGGGGAAATCCTAAAATCTCAAAAACTTCTTAAAGCCTTAAAAAGCTTATATTTCAGGCTGGACCAGCTAATGTGCATGTGCAGTTCTTGTGTCTCAGGACATTGAATGTTTCTATGGCAACTGGAGTTTCTAACAGCAGCTGCAGTGACACGATGACTTTACCAATTGGCGATTGGCTCTTTTATTTAGAAGGCGTGACTTATTCCGCCATATTACTTGTTGCTCCAATTCATATTAATATGAGTGCACAGTCATGGTACATATACATTATCTCACAAAAGTGAGTACACCCCTTACATTTCAGCAAACATTTATCTTCTCAAGGGACAATACTATAGAAATGAAACTTGGATAGATTAGAGTAGTCAATGTGTATATATTTACTGTCCTCTGAAAATAACTCAACATACAGCCATTATTGTCAAAATAGCTGGCAACAAAAGTGAGTACACCCTAAATGAACATGTCAAAACTGTGTCCAAAGTGTCAATATTTTGTGTGAGCACCAGTGTTATCTAGCACTGCCTTAATCCTCCTGGCCATGGAGTTCACCAGAGCTGCACAGGTTGTTGCTGGGTTCCTCTTCCACTCCTCCATAACGACATCACGGAGCTGCTGGATGTTAGACACATGGCGCTTCTCCACCTTCCGCTTGAGGATGCCCCACAGGTGCTCAATAGGGTTCAGGTCTGGAGACATACTTGGCCACTCCATCACCTTCACCTTCAGCTTCCTCAGCAAGGCAGTTGTCATCTTGGCGGTGTGTTTGGGGTCGTTATCATGCCGTACGGCGCAGTTTCTGAAGGGAGGGCATCATGTTCTGCTTCAGAATTTCACAGTACATGTTGGAATCCATGTTTCCCTCAATGAAGCGCAGCTCCCCAGTACCAGCAGCACTCATGCAGTCCCAGACCATGATGCTACCACCAACTTGCTCGACTGTAGGCAAGACACAATTTTCTTGGTACTCCTTACCAGGGCTTCGCCAAACATGCTGGACACCATCTGAGCCACACAAGTTTATCTTAGTCTCATCAGACCAGAGGACATGGTTCCAGTAATTCATGCTCTTGAACAGGTTGCTTTCAGCAAACTGTTTGCAGGCTTTCTTGTGAGTCAGCTTCAGAAGAGGCTTCCTTCTGGGACGACGGCCATGCAAACCGACTTGTTGCAGTGTGTGGCGTATGGTCTGAGCACTGACAAGCTGACCCTCCGCTTATGCAACCTCTAAAGAAATGCTGGCAGCACTCATGCGTCTGTTTTTTGAAGCCAGCTTCTGCACCTGACACACAGCACGAGGACTCGACTTGATTGACCCTTGCGAGGCCTGTTCCAAGTGGAACCCGTCTTTGAAAACCTCTGTATGACCCTGGCCTGTACTGTAACTCAGTTTCAGGGTGTTACCAATCTTCTTATAGTCTAGGTCATCTTTGTGGAGAGCAACAATTCTAATTCTCAAATCCTTAAAGAGTTATTTGCCATGAGGTGCCATGTTGAACATCCAGTGTACTCAAAGCACAAATTTTAACTGCTCTAATACAAGATACACACATTTGTATTGTCCTGTCAAGCAGATAAAAACATGAAAATGATGAATAGGACATGTGGCTTTGCATGGTTAAACAACGTACAGCTATTATCACTTAGGGTGTACTCACTTTTGTTGCCAGCTATTTTGACAATAATGGCTGTATGTTGAGTTATTTTCAGAGGACAGTAAATATATACTGCTATACAAGCAGCACATTGACTACTCTAAAATATAATATAATAAAATTAAGATGTGCTTGTTACATTACATGCAAACAAATGTGCTGTTATCTGTATCATAAATTAACAAGGCATACCATCACTGAGTTTAAAAGATTGCTTGATTTAGTATTATCAAAGAAGAAATTTATGAAATGTATGAATAACCTGATATCTTAGATAGTTGTCAAATACAGATTTACAAGGGACTTTTAACTCACATATAAATAAACAAACGTTAGACCATAACAGATTTAATAAGAAATTATAACACAAATTCTGTAATGATACCAGTAAGTTCCTCCTGTTACTACTGCACAACTGCTAATGTTTGCTGCACAAAATGTAAAAAATAGAGAAAAAAGAAAAACCGTGTCAAAGAAAAAAAAAAGACATGCTAAAAAAGAAGTTCAGGCAATCCAGCAACCCATTCGCCTGCAGACAGGCACTCTCAGGGACGCCATTTTATCAGAGCTGAAATGCAGCCAAGAGAACAAGGCTGCTGTCTACAATTCTGTCTCTCTTGCTTTTATTCCCTTTTTCACTTTCTTCTCACACACCCTCCTCTGCTTGCTCTCACTATTAATCACATTCACTCTCCCCACGGAGAGAAAAGAGAGAGAGAGAAAAAAGACTGCATGATAAATTCATAACACATAAGGCGGTGGCTTTTTCCCTTTACCTTGTTACTCAAACATCCTGGACTAAACAAAACAAAACAGAAAAGGCAGGAAATGGGAGTTTGTACACCTAAAGAGTGGCTCCACATAACTAGTCTCAAAAAGCCAGCGAGATAAATGCTGCAGCTGTGACCATTCGTTTTTCAGTATTATTTGGCTCTGATGGCAACAAATGTCTGCAACTGCTGTGTCTAAGAGTCTTTCATTCTGGTGAATACCCAGAAAGGAGAATTTCAAGTCTTTGGAAAATTACACCAGTCCAAGGAAAAAAAACGTTTACCTACAAACTTGGATTTTCTTACATTTGCTTTAATACAGTCAACAATTACAGCTTTCCAGTGTCAGACTTTCTCTAGGCAAAGTCTCAGTGACGTATAAGACTGTGCTTTTGTCTGAAAATAACTTTCATACTAATTCTGTTCTCCGGATCAAAGGCCTCACTTCTTCCCAAGAGTAAAATGGCAAACATGTTTAAAATGCTCATCAGTCATGTTTTCCACTTGATCAGATCAAAGTGTTCTCTTAGAAGAGTGCTGAGAGAAAGGAGAAAGAAATAGACAGTGAAAGAAAAAAAATAGAGAGAGAGAGAGAGAGAGAGAGAGAGAGAGAGAGAGAGAGAGAGAGAGAGAGAGAGAGAGAGAGAGAGAGAGAGAGAGAGAGAGAGAGAGAGAGAGAGAGAGAGAGAGAGAGAGAGAGAGAGAGAGCGAGAGCGAGAGCGAGAGCGAGAGCGAGAGAGAGAGAGAGAGAGAGACCCAGACGGGTATCAGCTGGGAAGACACTGTGCTAATGAAGCAAAAGAGGGGGCTGGCATGTGAGACGAGACCACCTCTAGTTTTGACATGGATGAGATCATATCTGTAACATAACTTAAGCATCAATTTCAGCATGTCCTTGCCTTTATACCTGCCTCGCTAGGCCTGATGCATATATATATATATATATATATATATATATATATATATATATATATATATATATCTTTTGGGTTCTCTTTATTTGTAATAGTGTGTCAGTATTTCCAAGTATACAATATTGTATTTTATTCTGAAACTTAAGCTAGCTCAAGAAGTTAATCTAGATTTTTTTTCATTTTTTTTTTTTTTTTTGTGATGGTGGTGGTGCTTTAATTAAGGTGCTGTTTCAGTTGTTAGTATGTTTGCACAGTAAAAACCTCTCTGTAAGATTTTAAATCCATCCCTTTTAAAACACTATTATAACTAATGACATTCAGCGGGACATCTTTGACAGTTGACATCCTTAAGTGTCCAGTTATGACATTTACATTTCTGAATTTGTCAGATGCTTTTATCCAAAGCAACTTACATTGCATTCAAGATACACATTTTATCAGTTCTTGCTTTCCCAAGGAATCTAACCCAAAATCTTTGCATTGCTAGCACTATGCTCCACTGTTTAAGCTACAGGAAGGTGGCATTGCTCAATTAAGATGACGTGAAAAATAAAAAAATAACTTCTAAGAACCTGTTGCAAGATATTTTCTTGTAAATGCTCCAAAGCAATGTGTCCGATCAGAGTAAGGTAAAGCCAAAACCATACAGGGCAATTTCTAGTTGTTCAAGTAAAACCATTCAAGACGTAAATTATGAAAATAAGCAGTTTTGCACAACCCAATATTAAATCAGTTTTTTTCTGCTCAAACAAATAAACCTTGTTCTCAGCTTAAACTAGATTTTTAATGGCATTTGAATCCCAGAAACACATATTTAAAATATTTATAAGCAAAAAATCTAATGTATATGAAACAGTGAAGACAATAAAGATCCACGAATTGACAAAGCCATTAGGAGCCATGAAACAGCTGGTGAGCCCATGTTCCCAGGGATGTCCCTTCTGCTCAAGCACTGCTCTTCCACCTGCCGTTAAACCAGATTGGAGTGAATCGCAAACACTCTCAGGCATCAACCAGAGGGGAGTAGAGGAGGGGGTCAGTAAACAATAATTGGAAAAAAACACTAGAGACAGAGTCCCACAACCTTGCCGCTCCCATGACCTCAGGCTTAGAATGACACTTAAGAGGTCAATGCCAGGCTTTGTTAAGGCATAGCAGGGTGGGAGACACAATCCTCTGCCATTTAAATCATTGTCCCTGTGGACTTCTACGTTCCAGCTGGGCCATGAGGAGGAAGAAAATTTCTATCTAGTAAGACAACCAAGGACAAAAAAACACCACAATGTATATCTAATCATACCTGATATTGGTCAAGTGAAAAGCCTGTCAAAATAAATATCTTAGTCTCTCCATCAAAAACAAAACATGATTCTCACCCGTGTGCCGTTTGCTGGTAGGCGTCCCAGGAGGGGAGATGACCCCGGTCTGAGTGCAAGCAGAGGTCGGGTTCAGAGCGGCTGTAGGTAAAGGTTGACCCCTCTTCAATAGCTGCCTCTGCTCCTGCTGTCGGAAGCGTGGAGGAACCTCTTTGTGCACATATCGGGGACTGGACTGCTGCAATGGAGGTAACTGCTGTTGTAGGGCATTACTAGGGTTACGCTTGCCATTGCTGGTGGTGGAGGCAGAGGGTACAGGCAGGTTCAGGGTCAGAATGGGACTTGAAGGGATGCTGGGATTGGGTTTAACGGAGTCTGGCACTGCAAGAGATGGGGAAATATAAAGACGAAGTTTAATTGAGATAAATGAAGTGATAAAATAAGTAGTAATGTATTAACCTGTTAACGGTCTCCCCCTTTTTGAGCATAGATCAATGGTTGTAATTAAATGGTTGTAATTCATGAACGCTTTGGAATATAGGCCTGAGGTTGGTCTTTTTTAAAGAAGACACTCAGGAGATTATTGCAGAAAAAGCACTTCAAAAATGAAACAAAACAAAAGTTAAAGTTTAAGTTTACTGTAAAGCAATTGTAAAGAACTTAACATTTTTGTTTTATACAAAAAAAATATTTTACAAAATAATTCAGACTCTAAAATTGCTATAAAATCATATACGTGTGTGTGTGTGTGTGTGTGTGTGCGTGCATGTTTTTTTTTTAGTTGATTTTGACCATATAGTAAATCAATGTGGTTTTGTGAGATAATTTAAATTTTTGGGTGAAATATGAATGTACTGGAAGGGTGAATAATTGCTTAAATTTCTGTTTGTTTGTCACACAGATCTATCAATGGCTTCTGAAGTCTTGAGATCTACTGCTGACTGTAAAGCAATTGTAAAGAACTTAAAGGTACAATATGTAAGAATTTTGTAATAAAATATCCAAAAATCACTTGCACAGTGTGACGTATTTCCTGCAGTTGTGTACTTACAATATCCCAAAAGTCTCCAAAGATTTTTTATTTCTGAGAAATTCCAATTTTAAATAAGTGGCCGTCCCGGAAAACAATTTCGCCTGTCAATGACGCAATATCCGCGCTATCCTCGGTTTCCGTTAATATTGCCATAGCATGACATAACCATGGCGACAGACGTGGACAACTGCGTAGTGCATAACGTTTAGCGGTAGGGCTGGATGATTAATAAAAAAAATAATCGAAACCGAAATTCAGAGCTTATAACCGACGTAATTTTACCATGTCGGTTATTTCGGTTTTTCCTATTAATATTTCCGCCCACTGTGTGTTAATGTACTTTCCCCTTAAAATATATTACTGCATGTGTAGTCACGTAACCCCGCCCCGTCCAGTCTGCGACATTGAAGCAACATGAGCCCCTTTCACACAGCGCGTTGATCCCGGGAAAGTGCCAGAACAAACACCTTCTGTGTGAACGCAAACACGACCCGGGATTGATGCCAGGTTGGAGACATAGTAACATTGCCGTGTTCAGTCCCGGAACGCGCGCTGTGTGAACAAAAGCAGTAATCAATGCCGTGTCGTAATGATGGCGCTTAAGCCGGGATCGTTCGCCAGCGTGAAACGGTAATGCGCTAGTTTATGATCGAATCAGAGAAAAAAAATGCACAAGCGTGGTCTTTGCGGGTTGTGTGTGAACGCACTCTCTGATTACGGAAAATCACTGGCAGTGTGAATGAACCAAAGTCAAACGAACCCGGGTAAAATCCCGGGTCACTTTATCCGTGTATTTTCCGGAATCTCTGTGTGAAAGGGAACTCAAACACTGAGTCAACTCAGCAACAGGAGCCGCTTGTACCAAAGAAACACTAGAAAACAGAGAGAGACTGACAAACGCCCAGCAACAAGTGCCTCCACTCCACAAAGCAGGTTTCGATAACACAAGCATTTACAAATGCTACACAATATGAAAAGGATTAGTTTTTTAGTTTTATACAAGTTATATTTTACTTTTAAGATGGCAATATTTACAATAATTTATTTTGTTTACAAAAAGAACTATTTTCTACATTTTTAGGAAACTTTCTTTTTACATTAAAACTTAATGACTTTTTTATAAGACGTTTTTATTTCAAGCATTGTATGCTTTGTTTGATTCAATTGTTTGAAATATTTAATAAATAAGCATTAAAAGCTATCTGTGTGTTTCCTTATTTTAGAATCACAAAGATAGGATTATGCATGAACATGAACATATTTACAGTAAAAGCCTTGCCAGTGACATATGAGAAAGAATTTTTTTTAAATAATCGTTCAATAATCGTAATCGAGCTTGTTCGATTAATCGCGATTATGATTTTAGCCAAAATCGTCCAGCCCTATTTAGCGGCCTGCAGTTCTTGTTTCTTTCAAACATAGACCATGGCAAGCAGACTTTGGGACAAACAAGGAGAACTAAAATGAGGATCAATATCAGCGTGGCGTTTTTGAGATGCCGAGAGCTCCACGTCCGCGACTAACTTGGACTTGACAGAGCTTCACGAGTCACGACTTGACAGCTTTATTAGACAGGTGAGCAAATGTACATAAAACAAATCAATGTTATATAACGTTAGCTCAACATGATGAAATGATAGAATATGGTCAGTATGTTATTCTAATGTTGATCTAGCTTACTGGTAGTTTCGTATAGCAAACAAACTACCACGTAGTATAACATTATAACTTTCAACACACATTTAAATGCCGTTTAGTGTGATAGTGTAACGTTAGACCAAGTGAAGCAGCGCTGCGTTACCTCACAGGTTTAATTCGTCTAATAAACTGACCTGTGTGAGTAATCCAGCACTTGCGGGTAGTTCGGTAGAATTAAATGTCCTTATTCCTTTATATCCGCGGGACTCGCGTGTGATATCTGTCTCTTTAGCAATCGCGACCTGCTTCATACCACTGTAATGTTAAAAAACATGAATGTTTGCACTCATCCATAAACATTATTAGATCCATCAGCTTGACAGCAAGTCCCATCATTCAGCTCATCACTGCGTCATCAACCTACGCACTTTGTTATTGTTGGAAACTGCGCCCTCTTGTGGCGGAAAAATCTTACATATTGTGCCTTTAACATCTTTATTTTATACAAAAAAAATATTTTACAAAATAATTCGGACTTTAAAATTGCTATAAAATCATATACGTGTGTGTGTGTGTGTGTGTGTGTGCGTGCGTGCATGTTTTTTTAGTTGATTTTGACAATATAGTAAATCAATGTGGTTTTGTGAGATAATTAAAAATTTTGGGTGAAATATTAATGTACTGGAAGGGTGAATAATTGCTTAAATTTCTGTTTGTTTGTCACACAGATCTATCAATGGCTTCTGAAGTCTTGAGATCTACTGCTGAAATCACATGAACATTTATTGCACTTTTGTTTCCTTTTGAAGCTTGAAAACTTAGTACATGAGTACTTTTTCTTTTACTGCTCCACAGAAGAAAGAAAGTCATACAGGTTTGTAGTGCCATGAGGGAGAGTGAATTATGGTACGTTTTATTTTAGGATGAGACACTGATCTATATAAATGACTGGGTTTCTCATGACATCAAAAAAAGTGAAGCCATTGTGCCACTATATTGGTATTCCCTATAATTCCCTCACATTCTATTGAATTAATAGGAGATCATCTGATTTTAACGAGACAACATTACCTAACAAGTCTCTCTGTACATTCTTAAAACACAAACGTCCTAAACATTGACTGGTTATTTGTTTAAAGACGGAAATTTCCCCTGCTTATTAAAAGTTACGTTCATCTTTATTACAATATCAAATATCAGATCAGCTGATGGACGAGAGACACCTCAGCATTACAAATGTCACAATGATTCTTATGAAATTTTACTGATTTATGCTTTGTAAGGCATGTGCATAACTTAATACGCCATGTACAGTTATTCACTGGTTATGTAAATTATGTAAACAGTATAATACTGCTTTATTCGTACAGTCAGTGTGAATGATTTAACAGTGTTTTCGTTAACTGCATGCATTTCGAAGCAGTAAAAATAAGGACTTAAATGTTGGTCAAATGAATACTTAGTTCAACAATATATACAAATATCACTCGGTTCATGCAGTCTGAAGTGGATTTTATTCAACAAAAAGACATCAGGAAATATACACGCTTCACAACTTATTCATAAAAATTACGCTGACTGTGTATGGATTTAAAGACATGGAGCTTTATTTCCAAGCATTTTTTCGCTCTTAGCAAGATGATGAATGGTTAACCTTTTTAATATAATATTACAAATAATTCCCAATAACTAAATTGCACTATGTTATATTTAATGTATATTCAAATCAACTTCTGCTAATAATCCTAGATATATGTTCATTCTTAATATTTCCTGCATATTTATGTACAAGAAGAAATCTATTTAAAAAGATTCTATGAAATCTATGAAAATATCATAAACATTACAGATAACGTTACAAATATCAATTAATCTACATACATACATAAAAACTATCCATGTGCGACTGATACGCTGCAAATCGGGTGATTTGAGGTCAATGTTTTGGCTGTAAGTCAATGATGTCCTCTGTTGGTAGGAAACTGTAAGAACTTGAACACTTCCGGTGGCTTCACCGCCTACTGGCAGTTTAGAACGCAATGAGCAATCCAGTCATTTATGTAGATCAGTGGGGTGAGACCAAATCCATGAAGATGTTGAATATATATTTTTAAGACTAAATAACAAAAATCTACACAATCTATAAAATATACACATAAAAAACACTAAATAAATAAATAAACAAACATCTGCCACCGGATTGCACACATTCAGACAGATAATCTCCTCAATACTGTTTGCAATGAATGCTGACGAGGAAGCAGGGAAGTGTAATTCTTGACCACAAATCACTAAAGGCCATTGAACCTTAAAGATGTGGCAAAATTATAGACTGTAAAAAAAAATGGTAGGTTTCTGAAGAGCATTTTTGAAGCCCAAAGTGGGCGGAGCCGGCCGTCGCCATCTTGGTAGCCCGTCACTCCCAGATAAACGAAAATGGGCAAAGAGGGGATTAGCTGAGGTGACGTGACGGCTAACAGACAGCAGACAAATGGCTAGTGTTGACAGCAGCAGCAATTCACCACTCGAGTGGCCACACCCTTAATTATGCAGAACTTTAAGGCCCAATATAATTTAAACGGTTGAGTCATAAAAAAATTCGACCCCCTCACAGTTGTCATGAAGGGCAAAATTAGCTATATAGACTAAATCCACGGTTTGCACCAGGCTGTAAAAAACATTTTTTTGCTGTAAAGTTGGGCAATTTAAC